GCGTTTCACGGCATAAAGTGCAGAGTTGTAACGTGTACTTACTGCAGGTGACGCTGACAAAGTGTACCGCATCGCCGTCGGGGGGAAACGGAAAAGAAGGGTGAGTGATAAGAGATTGCAAAACTCCGTAACAAGCTGTCACATCTTTGTCAAGGCCCTGATTAACGCAGTAGAGTCCAGGGACCGGAAAACTGCAGGGGCAATTGAAATTCAGAGAACGTGGCGTGGTTTCCGCACGAGGTTGGCTCACTAACAGCCACTGGTATCTACTGCTATCCTAACTCCACCGATAACTGGATGCAGGCAAAAGTACATTAGCATTATGAAAAAGACTGCTAAATGGAAAGTTGAAAGTGGCCGTTTCCCACTGCTAAAGAGGAGATATGATGACTACGTTCAGTGGTGCTCCGATCAACTTGGTGTGGGTAGGGGCTCCAGTGCTGTCATGGGGTTCAGCGACTACTGTGCCAGAGGTCATACAGGTCTGGTGGAGAACAGCCAGAGCTTGTCACTCCAGAGACAGAGAAACAGTGAGTTGGTGCTACTATACCCGAAAAAGACTCCTGGAGATTTGGCCAAACAAATGCATTGGCTTTGTCCACATGAATATGAACTAGGGTGATTCATTACACTTATTTGCAGAGAAGAAAGAGTTTGACAGAGGAAGAAGCTGCACAGATAATACAGACTGCATGGAAAGGCTACCGGGTAAGGTCTAACAATAAGAAGAGCATTTTGTTAGGTTTTTATGTATATATAATATATACAGAGCAAGAAGATTTTCGAGTGCTACCGGAAACTGATAAGCTTCAAGCAGAAGGGCGACCCAGCAGTCCTGCTGAAGACCATTAACCCTTCAGAGGTTCCCAATTTCACTGTACTTCTTAATTTGGAAGAGTTCGGTCCACATCTCACTGATCTACAGGCAAAGCTTCTTGACAAAGCCTCAGGAGGCTGTGTAAGATTCAGACTTGGAGGAGTGAGTCTGGAAAATCAAAGCGAAAAAAACTAACATAAATCTTTTTGTTTTGCGCTCAGTGTGATTTCCCTCCGTCGATCTATTACAAGATCTTCACCAGTCAGGCTGTGGTAGACGTGTGTTCATACAGTCCTCGAGACTACACCGCAATGACCTCTCGTCTACTACCGCAGAGGGACAAACACAACCACGGATGCAGAATCGCAAAAGACGGCAAGTTTATAACTTGGCAGCCCACGTGATATAATTATTAGTTCCAGATGATGGAAGTAATTGGTACAAGAGATGGGAAAACAATGGCTGGAGACTAGTTTCAGAGCGAGTGAGACCTTGAACATGAAACCTACGCATTTTACACATCAATTAATGTGTTGTTGCAAATGATTTGTTGCCTCGCCTGCAGCTTTTCCAAAGTCGACTGCAAGATTCAGTGACAATCGAGACTTCGGCGAAACGACAGTCTTTCCATCACTCGACAGTGAGTTGCTCTGTCGACTCTGAGGCCCACAGCACTCTACAACTGGCTCTACAACTGGTGTCTACATATATACAGTTACAGAGAAAGGCAGACTTGGAAAGGAGGCGCAAGAGGAAAAAGATAGAGTGGCTGAAAAAACTGTGAGCTTTGAGAATATAATACCGCCCTGCAAAAGAAATACTGTCTTTCAGGTATCAACCTCAACCAGAAACACAAGCAAAAGAAGAGACGACAGAAAGTGCTGATTTGGAAGATGAAGTTGATACATTGTTAGGATGGTCGCGGAGCCTTAATTTTGAAGAGTAAGTTCCTGCAATTTCATATTATTATTAGTGTGTGTCTGGTTTCGATTTATTCAGGTATGTCTCAGACTGGTCCCAGATTGCAACCAGTGCTGGTCTACCTGCTACGTCATGTGATAGTCACATGACTACCTAGCCCAAGTCATGTGACCCAAACACCATGTGTGATCAATAAATAAACCAATGGCACAGAACTATTATTGTTTGAGATTCAGGAGTTTTGCATGCATGATTTCATTGTCTCCGTGGCGACTTGTAATGTGGGCGGAGTCTCGATGTCCTGTTTGCTCTGAACTAATCTCAGTTCCATTGAATCAGGATCATGCACTCGGCCTGAGGCTGACATAATTATATAAAACGAGAGTTGTCTTGCAAGCAGTAAACATTAAGTGGAACCCTCTCTATAAGGACAAAGGACACCTCACTAATTTATTATGCCAATTAGTGTCAGATTATAGGGGTACTCCCACTGTATTATTCTGCAGTTACCTTTGGAGTACTGCAGTGTCCTCTGAAGCACAGCTTGCATTGTCCCAACTGCCTTTTCACACGATAACTGTAGAGAGTAAAGTAAGGCAATGTAGAGCAGTCTTCATGCTATTGTGAGAGAGACTTTCAGGAATCTAGGAAATGAAACAAGATGATCATGCAAACTTAGCTGACAAAATTAGATTAGTTTTCAACTCTCTAATTGTCCTAATGTGTTCAGAAGGGGAGGGGTTAAAGGTGACCTGTAGGTCGAGGTGGCTCCATGCCAACAGGAGGGCAGAGAAGAGGTCCCCAGTTCCCACGAAATGGCCCTTCAAGTTTCGGAATCTCGATTCTTGCCACTTCACCTGGACATGGGCAGAGGAGTCATTACGTCATTAATTGCAGTGGAACCCCTCTCAAAGGACGCCTTTACTTTCCCCAAGAACAGTTTCTTTTACCTCCTGAATTATGGACACACTTTACTAATATCAACACTTCTGCCTCATTGGTGTCTGTAAGAACATACGTACCTTTCTCGGATTTCCCCAACAATACCAGAGTGTCTGTGGAAGAGGGTAGCTCAATACTTGTGACTATCACACACTTAGATCCTCTTGAGAGTAGACAATCTATTGCCTGTACATACATATAAGAGGGGGAAGTAGAGGACTCTATATACAGAGACAATATAGACCTACTGTACATACACAGTGGAACCTCCAGTAAAAGACACACTGAAATTTGACTGGTTTTTTTTCTTCACTCAGAGTGTCAATTATATAAAAGGTTTAGTTGAACAAATGGAGGAAAGAGAAGAGAGAAATCGATATATACCTTTAAGGCTTCCTCTTCGCTGGTAACCTTGGCTCCACTGAGTAACCTAGCAACAGACAAATGCAGCAAAGTAGAGTGAAATTTAGGACACCATCATAGTATCTTTTATGGGCAGAGCCAACTGTCCTTTTTTGAGAAGTGTATATACTATATTCAGAGGGTCCTTTTTCAGAGGGTTTACTGTATGACGATTATTTTCCAACTGACTCCAGTTCAAACTGGTTAGGAGTGAGAATATCAGCAGACGGAACGATCCTCTCTCTGTACACGTCTATCAGCTCACTCGGCACATACTGCAGGACCAGAGAAATGTAAAATGAAATTGAAAGGGTTTGCCGGAAATCTTACCATCTTTCCATCATCTCCTAGTACAGGATCGCACACTGCGGAAAAGTTAAAATCAATAATATTGATGGCGTAAAATTTTGTCCCCCCCGTGAGTAAAATTTTAAATTCATGACAGTCATGTGATGCTAGGAGGTACGTTGGCAATCATACCACACTTATCACTGACAATTTGCCCCAAATCCAATCGTTAGTAATGACAAAGGGTCTGTGGAGGGTTCATACATACGGAATAGGCAGTTGGGTGAGGCTCTCTTCAACTCCGTCACGACATCGAGAATTTTCTCGAGGAAAGACTTCTCCCCACAGTAGCCTGCAGCGAAAATCAGATTTTTTGACTTTTTCATTGTAAGTGCTTCAGAAACCTTTCTTGTCCCAAAATTTTGCCTTTCCCCATACCTCGCTCCAAATATTTATTATTTCCCCTGTCCCACACCAAATTATTGAAGTATTATACATAATGCACATACCAGTCAGGATGTGAGTGTATTTGAGGAGACTGTTACTGCGCAGACCGGTGATAAGTGCATCGAGATTGTCAGAGTCCAACACCTGACCTCTATATTCCTTATATCCTGCAGAATTACGTAACAGTTCCGACGTATACGTTGCAAGATGGGGATTGTTATACGGTATATACCAGTATGATTGGAGAACTGAACCGAGTTTATTGCATCTACATCGCATCCTAGTACCTGCATAATGGAGAGTGGAAGTATTATACGGATTAGCTAGCGTATTGAAGGCTCACCTGTAGCGGGAAAACGGCCGCGCTGTTGCCCACGTGACCGTGCACCACGTGACTCTGAATGGACAAGACTCTCCTGTCCTTCGAAGGCTCGGAACTTCTCTCCATGTCTCGCTCTACGGCCAGAAACTCGCGCAGAAACTAAGGTTACGACCTGCCCCCTTTTATTCAACGTGCACGTGGGCCCACAGACCACGCCCACTTACTTATTTCAACCTTTGACCCCCAGTTATCGTCTTCACGATGCGCGCCGTTCGGTCGTCGCCGTTTGCAGCTCCTCTCCGGAACCTGCAACTCCTACGTTTCACTCTAGCACACATATGCGCCGTCAGAGCCAGCGGAACTGTCTCTGTGCAGGAGGAGAGCGAAGGAAGGGGGAAAACAGTGAAACTTGCCGTGTCCTCACTCCGCATCGATACCCTCGCCGCGGCCGGCTTGGGCATCTCCAGACAGTGAGAAATTCAATCAATTTTTCTAGTTCGACTTTTATAGTGTGACTTTCAGAAAGATTTGGGAGGCTGCCCTCGACAATTTACTGATGTTGAATGGAGAGTTGATCAAAAAGAAAAGCGCAAATGTAGGCCAAAATTTCTTTGGATTTTGCTGCGTTTTCATTGGAACTCAGGTGGTAGATGGTGACATTATTGAAGTTGACACAGTTCTGAAAAGAGAGGGAGGGGAGGAGGAGGGGGGAAGAGTGTCAGCGGTGAGAAGGGGGAGAGTAGAGGTAATGGAGATTGGAGAGAGGACGAGGAAGGGAGGATATCACGTGACTGTCAAAAGATTCAAGCACTTTCGGACTTTACCCATTGATAATCGTAGCTAGCTTCCATTATTTTGCGCATGCGTACGAGTTTTTGGCCGAAGCATGCGCAGTAGTGGGGAGTGGCTGGTCAGCAGACGGGGTGATGAAGAAAGTCGCTGTCCTACTGGCTCTAGCACTCTCCGTCGGTTGTGCGGCTGCATACGTGTCGAGTTGCGACGCCAGCGCCGCAAGAAACGACTGCGGTGAGTAGAACCCCCCTCAGATGATCTTACGCATTAGCTAAACTTACCGTTTTCAGGGTATTTGGGCATCACAGAATCCGAGTGTGAGGCCAAGGGATGTTGCTGGTCGCCTGAAGACGTGCGTTAAACTCTGTGCGAAACTAGCGCCTATTGTGCACGTATCATGCGAAACGCAGGACGAGCCCTGGTGCTTCTATCAGAATCAGCCGAACCCCAGCGGAACCTGCGAGAAGATGCACCGAGAACCGACTGCGGTATGTCCATTTCCTGTCTATAAGAGAGAAGTGTGCTGCAATCAGTCAGTGTGTTAGTGCCATACACATGTCCGCGTGACTCGGCCTGCAACGTATATACGTGCACCATGAATATTAGCCTCTACACACCACCCGGCCACTGCAGGGTATTTGGGCATCAACCAATCAGAGTGTGAAAGCCAAGGATGCTGCTGGAGCCCAAAACAGGTGCTACTCTGCATCTCTCCCAAATCTCTCTGTGACGCACTGTTTTGCTGCGTGTCCAGGGCGATGCCTGGTGTTTTTACAAGACCTCCACTGATGGCTACGTCATCAGCAACATTTCCCAAACAAATCTCGGCATCAGGGTGAGAAATTATACTGCGTAGCAACATTATCATGAGATTTTCCCCCTGAGCAGTTGATACTGAAATACAATGGCACCCGAGACTCCAGTAAGTTTTCTGTATGATTAGTATTTCCCAAACTGAAGTATTTAATGTCGTTTCAGCTGCGTTTGGACCAGATATAGGGACTGTGCAGGTAGATATTGAGCAGCAGACAGCCGAGCGACTCCACGTGAAGTTTACTGACCATACAACAAATCGCTGGGAGGTCCCTACAAAGTAGGCCTTTCTAACCTTTCTTCTCACTTATAACCTCATCTCTGGCGTTTATTTCAGCCTATCTCCAGTCCCCTCTCCTCCCTCTACTCCTCCTTCCAACCCACTCTATGAGTTTGTGGTGCCTAAGGCCGGAGATCCATTCAGCCTTGCAATCATCAGGTATGATGAGGCAGACATTTTGATGATAGTCACATGATAGTGCCAATGTGATGGTGTGTGCGCTGGAGTGAGCATGCTGGAGTGATGAAGTGTACAATAGATTGTGTTAATCCATGAGGTGACCTAATATTGTACAACAATTGATTTTGAACAATTGTGATATTTAATTTTAGGAGAAGTGACAAGAGTGTGATATTCAATTGTAGCCAATTGGCAAGCACATGTAAGTCCAACCATTTAACTCTGCAATGCCTTACCCTCTCTTCTTCTCCACGTGTAGTGAGGTTTGTGGATCAGTATCTCTCCATTGGGACCACTCTCCCCAGCAACTACAGCATCTATGGCATCGGAGAACACGTTCTAGATACTTTCAAACTTAGGTCAGCAAACTCTTTATTTACAACCTACACATACTCACTCTCTATACATCAAAGCTATAGTGTATACTTCTCCGCATTTCTCTTACTCTCTCTCTGTCCGTACGCTCCTCCCCTACAGCAATCCTTTGACACTGACTCTGTTCAATTCTGACAATGCCACTCCTGTCCTCCTTAACCTCTGTAAGGAGATTATACACCAACTGCATCTGTGTATACTATATTAAGTAATGCTCTAGCCAAAACAGTCTCATAAGGCTTGCAGGTCAAAATTTTGGCTTGCAAAGTGCTGTACCTTGTTTTCTTAGAGGAAGTGTTGTTTTTTGGGGGAAATGGAACTTTCTATAGCAGCTATTGGACAGTTGGTTCCTAAAAAAGGAGTTGCCCTGGAGGGTGTCGTGTTGTGCTCTATGGTTTGCTTTTTCCTTGAGACACATCGTTGTTGACGCATGCAGACGGCTCTCACCCATTCTACCTGGAGATGAGACCTTCCGGTCTGGCCCACGGAGTCTTCCTCAGAAACAGCAATGGGATAGACGTCGTCCTCGGCTCTAACAGTCTCCTCTACCGCACCATCGGAGGGGTCCTGGATTTCTACTTCTTCCTGGGCCCCCACCCTGAGGGGGTCGTGCAGCAATATCAAGAGGTCATCGGTCGACCCCACATGCCCCCTTACTGGTCGTTGGGATTCCACAACTGTCGCTATGGTTATCCCAACGTGGAAACCCTGGAGAAAGTGGTGGCTAATTACTCCAGTGCCATGGTAGGTGTGGTCACATGTAGGCATGGGTACACCAGTGAACAGGAATTGAATTCCGCAGATTCCATTGGAAACCATGTGGACTGATATTGATTACATGGATCAGGTACGTGTATTGTCCCCAGACCACACCCACTTATTAGTGACGGTGTCCCATACCCATGTTTCCATTATTCCGTTCTCCAACATCTCCATCTCCAGTACAGGGACTTTACTCTGGATCCTAACAACTTTCCCCAAGACAAGATGAATGCATTCCTAGACAATCTCCACAGCAACGGGCAGCACTATGGTAACAATAATTAATCATGACATCATCACTTATTCATGACTCCATTCCAAACCAGTTGTAATTGTTGACCCTGGAATTGCAATTATGAAAGGATATCCTCCTTACGATCAGGGTCTCGAGGAAAATGCCTTCATCAAGGTTTGATCAACCTTTATACAACGATGTCACGATGATGTCATTACAATTCATTCCAGGACAAGAATGGGAATGTGTTTATTGGGCGGGTTTGGCCTGGCTACACGGCTTTCACAGATTTCATGAACTTTGATACACATTCATACTGGCAGGACCAGGTCAGCCTGTTTAGGACAGGTCTATATATCAGGACACTCGTCATGTTTCTCCTAAACATGCAGATAGCTTCTTTCTTGCAACTGCTGCCAGTTGACGGGCTGTGGATTGATATGAATGAAATCAGTAACTTCTGCAGCGGGGCTTGTTCCACCGAGAGTGCAGATGGGGTTAACACTGCAATTCATGGCAGTGAGCAGAGAGTTAAAAACTCGCAGCCGACTCGGCTCAAATCCAAAACCAGAACCAGACTTCGAAGATCTGGAACGGGGAACAGACGCGTGGGTTTCGACCCTACCAACCCTCCGTATTCCATCAACAACTTTGGGAATAAAGCCCCGTTGAACACAAAGACACTAGACATGGATGCCCTGCATATGAATGGAGCTGCTCTCGAGTACAATGCCCACAACACGTTCGGCCTCTCTGAAGCCATCGCCACTAACAAAGCACTCGAGAACCTGAAGAAAAAGAGAAGTTTCATCATAAGTCGATCCACGTTCCCAGGATCCGGATCCCATACTGGACACTGGACTGGTATGGAGACGTTGCCACCCGCTGTAATTTTAGCCCATTTCCATCTGAATTCTCCCTCTTACAGGTGATAATCACGCAACATTCGATGATTTGGAGCACAGCATAATCGGAATGCTCAACTTTCAGTTGTTTGGGATTCCACTGGTCGGTTCCGATATATGCGGATTCCACGGTATGTGGTACTGGTGTATGAGATTATGAGTCCGTGAGAGTGTTGGTCATAGATTCTACAACAGTGGAACTGTGCACAAGATGGATTGAAGTGGGCGCGTTCTACCCCTTCTCTCGTGACCATAACGACAATCAGTCCCATCCACAAGTGAGTGATGGAAAAAGTAACGACATTCTCAGAGAATTTTTATCATCAGCTGTTGAAACATACACAACATACATAAAAGTTGTACCGTGCTATATGCATCCTTAATACTGCCAGCACAATGTGTCTTGCCATGCACAATGTAACATGAGAAACTGTGGATTATTTCACCACACGACCATCCACAGGAGCTGTATCGCTGGCCAGAGGTCGCCACAGTGGCACGAAAAGTCCTCTCCATTCGCTACAGCATCCTCCCTCTCTACTACACTCTGTTCTACAAGGCCCACACCCCCGTCACCATGACGACCCCGCCAGCTGCAACTGTCACTAGACCACTGTTCTTCGAGTTCCCCAGCGACGTGAATACGTTTGGTATTCATACCCAGTTTCTGATTGGTCCAGCTATCATGATCAGTCCTGTCTCCACTCAAGGTACGGTAGGCGCAGAAAGTACGCTAGAAGGATGGTTCTCTTACCTCATACCTCATGGCCTGTATATACACTCATTCCACAGTTATCGCTCAACCAGTTCAACTTACCCGCTCGATTTTTTATGCTATCCCTTGTTGGTCTTTTTTCCAGGTGCTACTACGAAGAATGTGTATTTCCCCCGAGCAAGATGGTTTGATTGGTACAACCAGTCCGTCGCCATGGAAAAAGGCGGGGAAATGGTGAATCTTCCGGCACCACTAGATCACGTACTGATCCACATCAGAGGTGGTTACATCATCCCCATGCAAGAACCTGGTATGACGACAGTGGCAAGCCGGAAAAACCCGTTTTCCTTACTGGTTGCACTGGATGAAACTGGTTCCGCGTCTGGTGATGTTTATCTCGACGATGGAGAGTCGCTTGACATGAGCAAGTGAGATTAACTTTCACCCCTTCCTCTTGGCTGTGGAATGTCTGGTATGCATGAGTCTGGATTAATTAACCCCCTTTATCTCTGGTGGAAGAGGCAATAGTCCGTGCCTTTTATGGTGTCATTTAACCCTTTCTCTCTCGTGTATTTCCAGCTACACGTTCGTCAATTTCTCCTGCTCAAAAAGCTCTCTCACTGGCAGTGTTTCTGGAACGGTACGTACCTACTTAGCCTGTCGATGACTTCTTACTAATCCCGTCTTTCTCTCTGTCTTTCTCCCTGTAGGGCTGGGCAAAGAGTTCTCCTCCTCTCTCCTCAGTCACAGTACTGGGACTAGACGGAGCAGTCAGTAAGGCCACACTCAACGGCCAGTCAATATCAAACGTCCACTACAACAGCACCACACAAAGTGTCCTGCTGTCTGGATTCCAAACCAGCCTGGCTTCAGATTTTACCATAATTTGGGAATGATGCTTTTTACGTTACGTAATTATGGTGTGTTGAATAAAAAAATTTTTAGCTTATTACGAATCGCATTCCAGCAGCCATTTTTCACAATTTTTTCGCAACATTAATTACATACAGGAAAAATAGTTGATTGATGATAGTGATGTAAAATCCTAGCAACATGCGTGTTTAATGATAATATTACAACGACACCGCTGGCCTGTATTATTATACATTGCCATGGCAACAAACTAACAATCGCGAGCCTTAGTTACAGGAGAGGGGGCGTGTGATTCTTATGCTACTTGAGATGAAACAGTTCCCACGTCCAGGGGAAGTGTTAGTGTACGAAATAGCAAATTAATAGTCGACGGGGGTTCCCAAAAGATCGTCGTCAGCAGGGGGCGGGGGGTCGGCACTCGATTCGAATCCCATGACCCCCTCCCCCTGACCTCCGAAATCAGGTTCCCTCGAGATACCTCCAATGCTCCCCTCATGTTCTGGGGGCAGGATATCGGGGCTCTGAACACCGCTGTCGCGGAGATCGGCAGTGTCATCAGGCTCGGGCCTCAAAACCCCCTGGCCCCCCTCGGGGACCAAAATCTGTTCGTCCATCAGCAGCGAGTCTCCAGCCGCAGCCCCCCCAGCTCCGAACCCCTGGCCCCCCATTGAGAACGGATCCAGTTCAAATGGGTTGTAGCTCTGTTCGGAGGATGTCGCAGCGGCAGCTCCGAACGGATCCTGACCAAAGATCTCTGTGGCCGCCTTGTGCGTGGGAGTAGTCACCAGTTCCAGGGGGTCCATTCCAAAGGGGTCAGGCGGGGGAGGGGGCCCTGCGGAAGCTCCGCCCTGGGGGTCGAAATCCAGGAGGTTTTCCACTGGCTGAGCTGGGGCGTCTGGCTCGAACTGGATCGGAGTCTGCAGAGAGCCATCGTCGTCTTCCTCGGCCAAGGGCTCTTCTTGGTCGACTCCTTCGTACACCTCGCCTCCCTCACCCTCGTCACCGTCCTCCCTCTCCCCCTCCTCTCCCTCTCCCTCTTCTCCCCCATCCTCTGCCTCCTCTCCAGCTGCCCCATCATCCTCGGTACCCTCAACGGTACGAGTCATCTCTTCGCCTGTCATATGCAGCTCTTCCTGAACGTCGTCTACCACTTCCTCCTCCTCCATTACGTCTCCCCCAAATGCCAGCCCAGTCTCCTCATTCCCCTCACCATCCACGGTGTCTCGGGCCACCTCTTCTTGGAGGTCATCCACGGCCTCTTGTTCCTGCAGACCTTCCTCGCCGTACGGCGGTTCATCTCCTTCTTCCACGGCTTGATCTCTGGCGACAAAGTCTTCCTGCTCGTCGTCCTGACTCGTGACGCTCGGCTCGGTCAGCTCTGCGACCGGGGAGCCTCGCTCTACAACCATAGAGAGAGGAGGTGTTGACGGAAAAGCTGCAGTGCTGCTCGTCTCGCTTCTCTGGTCGTACTCTTCGATGCTGATCGGGATAAAACTGCTCCCCATCTGTTCCTCGTCTTCCTGGTTGTATTCCGGCTCCCCGGCCTCGTCGTCCCCTCGGTAGTCGTGGTGTTGGAGCACGTTCTCGTCTTTGTCGTCGAGTTGAGCGGGTGTATCGTCAGATGGGATGTCCTGATCGTCGATCAGGTCAGAATCGGGTTGAGCGGGTGTATCGTCAGATGGGATGTCCTGATCGTCGATCAGGTCGGAATCGGGTTGAGCGGGTGTATCGTCAGACGGGAAGTCCTGATCGCCAATCGGGTCATCAACCTCGGGCTTGGCAGACGGGACTGGGACCTCGTAATACGGGCTGAGCGGTTCCTGCCCTCCTTCCAGTGGTGGCAGTTGCTGCCCTTGCTCCTCAGGTTCAGGTGTAGGTGATCCTTCTTCTCCATCTTCCTCCTGAGGTGGCTCCGGGCTGAAGTCAGGGAGTTCTTCTTGCTCTCTCTCCTGCAACGGCTCTGGTGGCTCCTCACTGGGGTAAGAAGGCTCTTCCTGCCCCTCCTCCTCCTCCTCTTCCTCATCGTCCACCAGCGGTGGAGTTGGTTGTTCGAAAGAAGCGGGAACCTCCTCTTCTCCCTCTTCTCCCTGAACTACCTCCTCTGTCGGAGGAACTGACTCATCGACCACGACCCACTCCTCGTCGTCCCTTGAAACAGCCTCCGGCTCCATCTTCTCTCCCTCCTCTCCCAGCAAGTCGCTCGGTGGCTCTTGTTCCTCCACATCTTCCTCTGGTGCCTGAGGCATTTCCTCGTCTTCCACAACTGCCACCAGCTGCTCCTCTTGCAACTGGGCCTCAACTTTAAAAGACGCAACACTTGGTTCATCTGAGGGACGCAGAGGTTGATACTCGTACGAGTCTGTCAGTAGATCAACTTCTTGCGCGGGTTCTTGGTCTGTCTCGAGAGGTGGTTCATCGGTGATATGTGCCGTCCCGTACTCGGATGGGATGTCCTGGATTGGAGTTATCGGTTCTTCGAACTCGGCAGGAGGCTCGTCAGGCTCTGCGATATTCTCAGATTCCGGTTTTTCTGGTTCGACGGGAGGCTCGATTTCTTGAGGTGCATCGTCAGACGGGACAAATTCGGGTTGTTCTGGCTCGGGAGGAGGCTCGTCCAGTTGAGGGACAAGAGGCACGTCGTCTGACGGGACGAGTTCCGGTTTTTCAGGTTCTGCGAAATGTTCTTCATCTTCCAGTTGAGGCACCTCGGGTATCTGGGCCTCTGGGGTGGAAACTGGAGCTGCTTCTTCTGATTCCTTAGTCTCCTCCTCTTCCTACAGGCAGACAGGCAACACTTATGATACGACAATATTGGAATGAGTAATAAATTACAAGAGTAATGCAGGCACTAATCGGCGGTGTGCAATGATCAAGGTTCACTATACACCCTAAACATATGACAACCACATCAAACAACAGTGTATGTGTGTATGTAAATCAACAACAATGATTTCATTAATAGGCCTACACAATCCACTGTACATGCAATCACGGCAGACTATACAAACAGGGGATTGGATACAAACACAAACCTACACACAAGCCCTACACACAAGCCCTACACTAAGGAAGGGGAGTATTGACATTCCATGCATGCCAGGGAACCAGGCCAGTGTTCAGTTGCCAGAGTAGGACATTCCTTCGAGACCACAGCGTCGCTCGTGAATTATTCATGAGATTTGGGTGGGGCAATAGAATACAATAGGTGAAAGGTTGGGAGTATGTGGTTTGAAACCTTCGCCTGACTTCCTGCCTTCAACTGCGTGCATTACACCAGCGCCCCTTGCTAGCTACACACACTACATAGGCTGGCTAAAGCACGAATTAACCGGGAAAAGAACTCACTATTGTAGAGATGTACATGTACATACGCACACATGTGTCGTTGCTAGACGATTAACTATCCATCTACATGTCTTGTTCACGTGTACAAGATAACAAACATCTTTACAAGGATGCACAAGGCGCCCAATAGCTATAGAGTGGTGAGTAGGAGTAACAACTGAGGTCTTTAGCAATTACTGCCTCTTGTGGCTCTGCGATACCAAATTCAGGCCCACGCACAAGTGTTGATTGCACTGTAAAACATGTGTGCAGTTGAACCTCTCTAATCCGGACCAATGGGACGGAAGAAAGTGTCAACAATAGGTGTCCTCATTTCAGGGGTTAAACTGAAATAAAAGGCAAAGTGGAGAGGTGTCCTCATTTCAGGGGTGTCCCTAGAGAGAGGTTCCACTGTATATCCAAGATGAGTGGGTACTATCTTCATGCAGTGATAACTTAGAGCAGGGACATACTGTTTCTTCTTCGTTTTCCTGTAGCTGTGGTCTTGTTCTTTGCATAATCTCCTCAACGCGCTGCATGTTAGAGAGAGAGTAGAGAGAGGGAGAGAGGCTTCAAACACTAGAAGAATGCGAGCGAAAGCACGAAGGTCTGTCTTTGAAACACTCTCCACGTGACGTTTGCACATGCACATAGTCAAGTTTGGCAGCATCGGTCGATAATTCAGACGACTAGGCGGGCTCAAGTCGCTCGCCAATTACGTGTGAAGTGAACTGGATATACGAGTGTCTGTAGAGTAATAACTAAGTCGTGTTTCCACTGTTCCCATCCCACAGTACATGAGACTAGTGTGGGTGTAGCTCTCTATTGGCAAAGAACTGACACACACACAACTCACAATCTGGCGAACAACGGGCATCAATTGGAGACATCATACACAACAGGCACTCAACCACTTCGGCCATACAACGGATACAAGACGAGCGGTTTCAAAACTGACAGGGCAAATGTATCCGACTCCCTTTGCCTTATTTAGTTACATGTATACACGACGGTAGGGCTATACTAACATACAGTATCTCGGGGTAATCAAAGTTTTGGGAGTGTAATAATAATAGTACTATAAGGCAGTTTGGGGAAAGTGAAAATTAAAAGGGGTTTGTTAGTTTTTGGCTAGACAGTTGTTTATAAGGATGTTTGTTTTGGCGTCGTGAGTGTAAGAGGCTCTAATAAGGAAACCTCTCCAAAGAATAGAGTTTTTACTGGCAGTGAGGGAAACTAGAGTCTTGGGATGGGAGAATTTGAAAACAACCCGGAATTCGAGAAAGGAAGAGGTGCAAATAAGGAGGGAGGAGGGCGTGTGGGTCTGGAGCATATATAGCTGTGGTGAGATGCACAACAGAATCCCAACTAGGGAAACCGGGACCAGTCTATTCTCAGGAGCCTCCTTTCAAGCCTTTTGTGCCACCATCAGGACATACAGAGGAATGTTACACCGCTTGTCAACAAGCCAGAGGACACCACAGGTTGCTATGCATCTCTCTTCCCTTTCTCTCTCTCTCCCCTCTTTCCTTTTCTCTGTCTCTAACTAACCTTCCTTCTCTCGGTTCTCTCTTCTTCCTCCTTCTTCCGAGCGAGATCCTGCTCCTCTTTCCACTCGCTGCCAAACTCCTCGGGAACGACCCCCAGAGGAGGGCGGTCGACCGACGTTCCCTCCTCGGGGACTTCGGCCGGTGCCTTCCCGATGAGCTGCTCCATTGCCTTCTCGAGTGCTTCTCTCTCTTCCTCTGTCGTTCTCTTAGGCTCAGCGGGAACCTCTGCCTGTGCAGCTTCCAGTTCAGTTTTCTTTGCCTTCTTGGCACCTTCCTGATCCTTCGGTCGTTTCAGACGAGGCGATTCTCCCGCTGTTTTCTTCTTCGCGAGAGGACTGGCGCCTGTCTTTGGTTTAGGCAGACCAGTAGTACCGGGTTTGCGCAGTGTGGTCACGGTTGTTGTTCCAGTGGTAGTCTTTGGTCTCGTTGGTGTCTTGGGGGAGGAGCTGGCGACAAATTTCGAGGCCGGGGATTTCGGAGTGGATGTCTTTGCACCGGGTCTGGTAGCCGATCTCGTTCCAGATGTAGGCCGGGTGGGCGTGGCAATTTTGGACGACGGTGCCGGTTTGGCAGGAGTGGTCTTGGCCGAGCTCGGTGCACTGCGAGTAGTGGTCGGTTTCTTGATCGCAGTGGTTCTGGTGGTAGTGGCTTTGGTCGCTGCGGCGGACCTTACCGCTGTGGTTGTTGTCGTTCCGGTACGGCTTGCAGTGGTTGCCCCCTGCGTTTTGGGAGTTGTAGTTCGATTCATTCCACCCACTTTCGCAGATCCCGCAGCTCTAGCGATATCAGTCGTCGGTTTGGCTCCTACAGTGGTACCAGACGAAAGTCTTGACGAACTGGTGGTTTTTAAGATGGTAGATTTTGTCACAGTCGTCTTGACGGTTTTGGTAGTGGTAGTTGCCCCAGTGATCTTCTTCGCAGGGCCCACCCCTGCCGCACCGGTACTTTTCCGTGTACCCCCACCACTCCCTGACGAGGCCAGCAACTTTTCCTTATCCTGCTTCTTCTTCTCCTCCATTTCTTTGCGTTTCTGCTCAGCTGCTTCCTTCTTTTGCCTCTCCTTCTCCTTCCTCTCCTCCATTTTCTTCTTCTTCTCCAGTTCCTGCTGTTCTTTCAGCTTCTTGGCCTTGTCCAGCTTCTCCTTGATTGCGTCCGCGGACGCAGTGGACGTCGGCCCATTGCGACCGCTGCCAGCAGCAGATTTTGAGCCCGCGGCCGCTCCAGCCCCAGTTCTCGTCGTCTTCGCCGCGCCGGTAGCTCCGGGCTTTCTCGTAGTACCTGCGGTTGTCCGTGCAGTGGACGTTCCTGAGAGAGAGGGAGAGAGCGCGCGAAAATAGTAGTAAAGGAGCACACTAGTGTCCGTCACAAGTTAAGGGTGCAGCTGTAACACCTGCCCTTACACCCACACGGGTCCTTCCTTTTCATGCGTACACGATGGATACAGGTGTGTACCTAGCTAGCTGTTTTACCTGTCTTCTTAGGCCGCGAGCCGGCGGCTACGGGCCCAGACTCCGCGCCTTTAGAGGACATCTTCGGCGCTCTCTATCTCCCGACGGATCCGCTCAAAAAAAACGTTCAGGGACCGACCGGAGGCAGACGACGTTAACGAAGCCGTAGACAACCGTGGGTTGGGTGGTGGGTGAGCCCCGCACTAATTACTCCGGCGCATGCGCAACGGTAAGCGTAAAAGTGGGTGGTGCTGGTCCGCCGCTTGCATTGAGAGTGTACGTGTGCAGTGAAGCGCGAGAGGACGCTATGCTACAGTGGAAAAGAACTAGACTGTGTCTCCTCTCTGTGGAGATTCTAGTCACATTGGTATCGCTGCGGATTCTTCCCGTCGCGGAGGGTCAGTCTTGCAGCGCGCAGCCCGTCATCTCCTCAGTAGATCCGCCCTCGGGATCTCGCCAGACGCGGTTCGCAATACTCGGCCAGAATCTGGATCAGCCCGGCAGTATTACAGTGATCCAACGCATTAACGACGAAGAGCTAGATATACTGGAGACCACGAACGTGACGCAGACGAGGATCGAGCTCACGGTGAATCCGCTGGCGAGCAGCTTAGCTACTATCACTATCGACCCAAACGAAGAGGACTGCGGATCAGCCTCTGTGGAGATATACGTCGTTTTCATAGGTATGCACGACCACACAGACAGCTACAGATCATGCATGAAAATGCCGTGCAAGTCTCAGTTTGATCTTCCATAATCAGCTTGTCTATCATTTTTGCAGTTATCGCCACCCTGCTCGGAGGATTACAGACTGTTCAACCTGGCACAGTGTTGGCCACTTCAAATGCCTGCCTCCCGCCGTTTTGCGGCGATAACAGCACAACCTACGAGGTGGTTCTCGCAGGAAATACACTCCAACAGCTGCAAGCCAACAGTGTTGGATTCGTCGTCCGTCTACCAGATACAGACACAGACTATGACAACGTTGAGCTGTTCATCCAAACATTCTATTCCCAGCTATCGACTAATGCAAGAGTTAATTTCAGGAGGTCTCCCTCAATCGACAGCATATCTCCCGACACGGGCCAGAGAGGGACGAGGGTGGTAATTGAAGGGGAGAATCTACTTGGATTCGGGCAAGGCTCCATTGAGTTCAGTCAGGTTTCGATTGGAGGTAATAATGCTATGATTGACCCTCGGAGCAATTCCACACACATCTTTGCTAGGGTGTTGAGTGGAATCGCAGGCTCAAACTCCGTCGCAGTTAATACAACACAGAGAATCAATGGTATTGAATACGATGGCCCATACACTTCCTCGGTCTCGCAGTGGACCCAGCTAATAGACGGAGCGGTTAGCGAGATAATCCCTCCCGCTGCTAAAATCAACGCGACAATCAACTTGTGTGGAGAGCGTCTTCTGGGTGGCGGAGCCAGTGTTGCCAACATTACCATCGCTGAGCAACAAGTAGAAATCATTGGGGACTTGGTACTGTCAGGAGGAGGTTCCTCAGAATGTATTGAAATAAGAGTACCCGGCGTGTCAAACCCAGAAAATGCCACAGGTGGAGTCACTATTGAATCGGACACGGGAGCTATCGTTGAGTCTCCTTCAAACATAATCTTCACCTATGCCGTTATAACGGATGTCACTCCGAGTTCAGGTCAGGTCGGGACTGAAGTAACCATTTCTGGCATCGGGCTCTTGTCTGGATACGCAGATCTGACCCCCAGTGTCTTCCTCGCTGATGTGGAGACAACTCTTCTCTCCAGCTCACCAGAGAGAATTGATGTTCGAGTTCGCGCACCATTTACGACTGGGTCTGGAGGATCTGAATCCATGAATATCACAGGAGACACGGTGATTACCGTCACAAGAGACAGTTCAGAGTTCAGTGTTTCCCTGGCTGATAGCTGGGAGTATCTCGAGCCTGGTGTTATTGAACTAGTTCAGCCTGTTTTCGGCCAGTTTGGAACGAGAATCACACTCACTGGAACGAACCTTCTTGGCTATGGTTCAAGCCTCAGGGAAGCCCGTGTCGATAGCGTCCCTGCAGCGATTGTGTCTCAAACTAACAACGAAGTGGTAATAGAAGCTCCAGATATCGAGACGCTGGGTCGAGTGAGCATCGTTCTTGAGGCCAACAATGGAGCACTAGTGAGACTAGACGATGCATTTGAGTTCAGAGAAAGAGGAGTTGTATTGGATTTGGACCCTCCTTCCGGCCAAAATGGAACGTTTGGTAAGTGCAGTGGACAGGACACCCGCATTTCATGCATAGCTCTGTTTTGACTTGTGCAGCGGTCGTGAATACGAGATACAAGGTTCCGTAATGTGTGAAGCTGATGGTGTCGTGGCATGAATAGACCTAGTCCATACCATATTGAGTGGGAGGAATTCACGAGATAATCTCCCTTTTAGTATGACCTCTCGGGGGTTACGTATCTATATAGTTGCCTTTGCACTTTTTCTCCTTGCCCCCTTTGATTCAGTGCCTGCGGTTGCAAAACTAGTATAGGGACACAAGGGGCATTAATACTTTCCCCTAGTGTGTTAAAGGCAATATGGAGTATAATGGCCAAATTTAGCCCATATTATAGACATACACATTCCCACATGCAGGATTGCCAACAATACTATTTTTTCTGGTATTATCACAGAGCTGCTATTTTCTCTGCAGTTTCAATCTCAGGGAGCAATCTTTTCGGACATGCAACCAGCATCAACAGCATCACATTTGGAGGTGTGGAGGCAGACGTCGACTCGACAAATTCCAATAACTCCATCATTAGGGTGAGGGTACAACCAAATGACGTCGCAGTCAATACGCCCGTGCAAGTTGTAATAACAGCTGCAACCATGGCTCGAGTGAGCACAAGTGGCCAGGATTGGACGTACTTGGTGCCTGGTGCAGTCAGTGGTGTGGAGCCAGACACTGGTCAGGCAGGAACAGTCGTGACCATCACAGGTGAGCGAGCTCCACAGTTTATTAATAAGGGGAGAGGTAATTTAGAATTGTCTTATGAACCGGATCGTTTTTTTCTTTGTGAAACATAATATGGGCATAAGATGTGGTTCCTCCCAAGTGGTTCACAAGACTAGGTGTAATTGGGTGCAAGAAGAGCAGGCCCCTTCTAATTTAGAGGTAGTGAAGCGACCATTACGTGTGCTGTTTCCTTGCTCTCCAGGGACCAATCTACTGGGTGGAGGCAGAAGTGTCCAGTCAATACTTCTAGATGGAGTCTCAGCCACAGTTATGGAAGCCACACCCACATCAATCACGGTATCCATGGACGATCTGTCGCAGCAGATAGAGTTCTATCGCGGGACCGTTCACATTGTGGCAAACACGGGAGCTGTAGTTGTGGGCGGAGCCTACACTCATCGTGAATCTGGCGTGATTACAAACTTTACCCCCACGATGGGCCAAGAAGGAACGAGAATCATAATAACAGGGACGAATCTCCCGGGATACGGAGCCAGGGTGACCGAGGTAATGATTGCAGGGGTCCGAGGGGAGATTGTCGAGCAAGTCAATACATCGCTTGTAGTGGTGAGAGCTGGAGCTGCAGCCAGTGGTACAGTGGGGCAGATCTCTCTGACAAGTGACACTGGGGCTTTCGTAACCTCTCCAGGTGCTCTAGTCTTCACTTACACGGAACAGGGAAGCATTGACGACGTCAACCCTAGCAAAGGTGCAGAGGGAAGCGGTGTGCTGATACAAGGCACGTTTCTGAGGCCGTCGGAAACTGTTGTGACAAGCGTGACAATTGGGGGATCTCCGGTCTTGAGAATTGTGACTGAGTCACAGAGCGAGGTAGCAGTTGTTGTAGGTGCAGCTCCAGCAAACGGAGGAAACAATTCCATCATTGTCATTACTGCAAACGACGGGTCGATTGTGAGGGGTGGAAATTTTACCTACCTAGATCTCACCCTCTCTCTTCCCGAGGTTGATCGCGGGCAGCAAGGAACTCAAGTGATCATACGTTTACCCAATGACAATGCTTTTGATCCGTCGCTCCCTCTAGTGGCTAGAATTGGGGGGCAAATTGCCGCAACCCTATCGTCCAGCGTGTCTAATCAAACCATTGAAGTGAGTACTCCTCGTGCAGGGGAGGTAGGGACTTATTCTGTTGATGTCACAGTTGAAGGGATCGACGGACGAGTGGCTAGATTGCGTAATGGATTCACCTATATCGAAGAGGGGGTCATACTCAGTGTGACCCCCGACAGGGGTCAGCAGGGAACCAGAATTCAGGTGGTGGGTCGAAATCTTCTCGGAGGGGGTAGCACCATTGCATCAGCTCGTATTGGTCAACAAGGAGGGAGAGAAGTGAGCGCAAATGTAAGAGATTCCGATGACGAAAATGTCGACTTGGAGATTCTATCTAATTTCCCCCTGGATTCAGTGTTCCCAACCACAGCAGACATCACACTAGTGGCAGACACCGGTGCTACTATAGTTGGAGTAGGTCTCTTCAATCTCGTTCAACCTGGGCAGATTACAGGGGTCTCCCCCACCAGAGGCCAATTTGGAACGAGAGTAACAATCACGGGAACGAATCTCCTCCAAGGAGGTACTGTAGCCGATATTTACTCCATAACACTTGCTGGAACGGATGTAGATGAGATTCTTGGCATTCCAACCGACAACGAGATCACAGTTCGGGCAAGCTCTTCTCCCGAGGGACCCCCAGGATCTGTAATCATCACTTTAACAACAGGAGCCACAATAATTCCCCCCGAGTCCATCACTTTCCAATACCTTTCCCCCGGAGTGATAAACTCTGTGACTCCAGAAGTAGGAACCGTGGGGACAAGGGTGACAATTTCGGGCGAAAATCTTCTTGGCGGAGGTGTTGTGCAAGAAGTTACCCTGGGGGGTGTGCCAGCTGAAATTAGAGGCACCCCCACTAATTCCCAGATAATTGTTCGTGCACAACTCCCAGAGGTCAATGGCAGTGGAGATGCAGCCAATGGAAGTGGAGTGGTGGAAATCTTAATCGACACAGGGGCAGTGATATCAGGAGAGGACTGGGAATTTGAGGAGTTAGGAGTAATATCATCCATATACCCTCCCGTGGGTCAGCAGGGTGTCACTGTCACTATCCGTGGGGTCTCTCTCCTCGGAAGCTCGGCTGGAGTATTCACCAGCTGCTCCCTGGCAGGGATACAGGGTACCGTCACCCTGTCGACTGAAACAGAGGCAGAGTGTGCGGCTGGTTTTAACCCTTTTGCTGCTGATGAATCCAATCCTGACCTACTGTCAGGGCCTGTTCAACTGATTGCAGACAGCGGCCCGGTAATTGTTAGCGGAGAACAACAATTCACCTACTATGTGGCGAGAATAGATGCCACAGAGCCTGTGAATGGAACAAACGGCACCTCTGTCAGCATAGTTGGCATCAACCTAAATGGCTCTGCAGATAGCGGGGAGATTGACAGTGTCGAATCTGTGAGATTTGGAAGTATTCCGGCATTTGCTATTGAGGTACTGACAGAGAACAGTATTCGAGTGAGGGTGGGCGCTAGTTCTGCAGTAGACAGTGATCTAGCAGTGAGAATTGAGCTTGAATCTGGAGCTTTTCTCGAACTAGAAGGTGCCTGGGACTACACAGAACCTGGTGAGATATCTACTGTTTCTCCTACCACTGCCCAGCCCGGAGAGACAGTAACTATCTATGGGAGGGACCTAGTACCTCCGTGTGTCTCTGAAGTGAGGGTGATAGTCGGTCAGACAAGATCGTACGAAGCCACCATTGTCAATAGCAGCGAGTTGACTTTCAGAGCAGGGCCGTATCAAGCCTCAGTCGATTCAGATTCAAATCTCGATGAGCCGAGTGTACCCCTGCCAATCCAAGTAATTGCTTCAAACGGAGCCACCGTCTATAACAGTGCGGGATTATTTACATACAGTGAGAGCGAAGCTCGTGTTACTAGCATTTCCCCGGTAGCTGGGTCTGGGGGTACCACGGTAACTATCACAGGCATCAATCTTCTCCATGGGAACTCTACGGCAGTGGAAGTCACTTTGGCTGGACAGAACGCTACTATCATGAATGCAAGTGACACGGAAGTGATTGTAATTGCAGGAGACGGCCCCGCAGAAGGGGCCAGAGGTAGGATCATAATAGAGTCTGACGCCGGTCTGATTTCTGGAATAGGAACGGACATATGGGAGTACCTGCCAGATATAACAGCCGATGATGTCACTCCACTGACTGGACAGAATGGAACGAGAGTATCAATAGACCTGAAGGGGATATCCTTGGTAATTACTAGAATCTCTCTGGCAGGGGTTCAAGTGAATGGCATAGTGGATAAACTAGAAACAAGAGTGATAGTTGAAGCCGGTCCATCTCCTCAGACACCAGTGGGCGATATCACAGTTGATTTCATTAATGGAGCAAGTCTTACTATTCCCTCGGCCTGGAGCTACCTGGAGCCAGCTGAACTTGAGGTTTTCACGCCGACTATTGGGTACTTCAATACTGAGATCCGCATACTCGTTTCAAATCTCAGAGCCGGGAACCGGAGTGTGGAATCTGTTCAAGTTGCAGGTATTGCGACAGAAGTTCTCTCTCAGGATGATTCAGAGGTTCGAGTGAGAGTAAGCGAGTTTCGTGACTCATCAGCTGGAGCAATCGAAGAACCATTTACCATAATTTGGGAAGACGGAGCAACTTACACAAGCAATGGTGCAGTCTTCACATATGTAAGACTGGAAGTGAGGAATGTAGCTCCACAATCCGGACAGGGAGGAACGATTGTGAGCATCACTGGCGAAGGTCTATTAGCAGGGTCCAGCCAACTAGAGGAAGCTAGACTTGGTGGTATACTAGTGCAAAGTTCTCCCCTGGTCTCAGACACTCGAATCGATCTCGTAGCTTCTCCATCCACTGAAATAACGTCTGCTGGTAGTATCACCTACATGGTGGCTGGAGGAGGCAGGGTTGTTATAGACGATGCCTGGACTTATCTGGAGCCAGGGGAGGTGAGAGAAGTGAGTCCACTGCAGGGGGTTCAAGGATCGTACGTGACCATTCGAGGGGAGCGGATGCTACAGGGAGGGAGTTCCGTGAGCCAAGTGACCCTGGCTGGTGTGGATGCAATGGAAATTGTTGTCGGACTTGACGACATCATCCAAGTTCGTGTCGGCCTCACACCAAGTCTACCACAAGGGGCGGTCACCATTGTATCTGATACAGGAGCGACACTGTCAAATGACGCCTTTGTCTTCCGGTACCTGGCCGGTGGATCAATCACAGGAGTTTCTCCAGACTCCGGGCAGAATGGAACGAGGGTTGTAATTTCAGGAACGGGGTTTACTGAGGTAGTAAGAGTGAGTCTGGCTGGAGTCAATGTAAACGTTCTGGGTGAAGTGAATGATACATCCATCACCGTTGAAGCTGGCAGACCAGACATCTTTGAAGCATTTAGCGGACGGATCATCATTGAGACGGACTCTGGGGCAATAATCACAGGGGATCCGACTTTCACTTATAACCAGGAGGGAGCAATATATTCAGCCTACCCCTCACAAGGGCAAGTTGGTACTATAGTTGTGATCAGTGGAGAAAGGCTCCTGGGAGATGGGACACGTGTAGATAAGGCATACTTGGCTGGGATCGAAGCAACGGTCAACAGCAGCAGTGCTGATTCAGTCATTCTGATTGCTTCACTCCTGAATCCAGACAACATTACTACTGGTGATATAGTCCTAGTCAGTGAAACCGGAGCCTATGTAAGGAAGACAGATGGCTGGAGCTATGTGATGGCTGGTGCAGTAGTGAATATCAATCCACCTCGGGGCCAGTTTGGTACCAGAGTTACAATCACGGGAACGGGACTTCACTCGGGAGGAGAATCGGTAGCACGAATCACCGTCGGAGACATAGCCACCACCACAGACATTACTTTTAGCTCCGACACTAGAGTAGACGCGCGGATGGGAGAGCCAATAAGACCAAACCCTCCTGAGGACAGAGTTACTCTTATTTCTAATTTTGGTGGGGAGCTGAGGTCTACCTTCACGTGGAACTACTTAGAAGCCAGCACAGTGATTGAGGTCTCTCCAAATTCTGGAGTGGGTGGGGTTGTAGTTACAGTCACAGGAGAGCGTCTACTTGGAGGGGGTTCCAGGATTGACTCCGTAACAACGGCTGGAGTACCTGCTGAAGACGTAGTTCAAGGAGCCAGCAACGACGAAATGGTTGAGTTCACAGTAGGGTACCACCCAACCGGTGCCGCTGTTCGAGGCGACGTCGTTATCGAGTCCGATACAGGGGCCCTCACAATCATTGAAGACGGGTGGGAGTACAACAATGCTTGTCCACAGGGACAGTTCGGATCATTTGGAAACTGCACGAACTGCTCAGAAGAGTGCGTGACTTGCAACGGAGCGACAAATGAAGACTGCCTGGAGTGTAGAAACTTTGTGGTCCCTCTATCTGTGTCAAACATGCGGTGTGTGGAGAGGTGTCCAAACGTATCCACTCTTGACAATGTGTGTGTGGATGCTTGCAACTCAAACCAGTACAGTAGAACAGATAGCAAGTTGGACACCGTTTTCTGTTACGATTGCAATGAACTCTGTAATCCTAGTTTGGGTTGCACGGGACCCAATGCTACAGAGTGCACCGCCTGCGAAGTAGCATTTGAGCAGAACTCTCAGACCTGTGTAGCAGATTGCGGGATTGGAACATGGCTCAGAGAAGACAGAGTGTGCGTTCCTTGTGACAGCCAGTGCAATGCGACCGCAGGATGCTTCGGGGAGACTTCCAGTGACTGCTACGAATGTCTCAACGTCCGCATCTCCCTGTCCAGTGCAGAGTCCGGAGGACTTGATGACCAAATGATATCAGATGTCTGTTTGGAGGAGTGCCCGACTGGATTCTACGAAGGTGGTGACAGGAACTGCCTCCAGTGCAGTGAGCAGTGTTTGGGGGGTTGCACTGGACCCTCGGCATTTGACTGCCGCGAGTGTGCCACTGTAGCTCGCATCCAGGACGGGCAGGAGCTCTGCGTGCCTTTCCTGCAACTCTGGGTCAACACAGATGACTCTGTTTGAGACCAGTGATCGCAGCTGTGGGGTGTGCAGTCGCCTCTGCTCCCTGGAGGACGGATGCAGGGGACCGACAGATGCAGACTGCATCACCTGCAGTCGAAATGCAACAAAAAACACAACACTTCCAAGATTCGAGGGAGCGTGTGTTTTGAGCTGCCCCAACATTACCTACTACCACGACCCCATGACCGGAGCATGTGAGCTCTGCGACACTTCCTGCACTAATGGCTGCTCTGGTCCTTCCCCAGCAGACTGTACCCAAGAGCCGGAAGTTGAAGACTCTTCGACATTTTCTGCTGGTTCAGGTACAATCGGTCTGACCGTTGCAATCACACTAATACTAGCAGCCGCTCTAGTCGTGTTGGTCGTTCTGATCTTTGTATCGCTAGCAAGAAGGCGACGTGGCTACAAGTTGAACCTCCACGGAGGTGATGCTGAAAGAGATGTCGAATTAGAGGTTCGATATTCAAGACGACCAAACGATGTCGCCTCAGCCACACCCACTAAAATCCCTCTTGCAGAGTCAGCAACTGTGAGTGCAGATGACGAATACACTCAGATGGCACCCACTAAACCCTTGGCTCCTACACTGAAGAGGAACCAACAGTCAAACACAGTGGTCCCCGTGGAAGAGAAAAAATATCAACCAGTCAGTAGATCCGGGGCTACGATGATAGAGAACGAGGGAGCCTTGTACAGCGCGGCTGGTCCCGAGGAGGAGAGCACACCACCGCCTCGTCCTGCTAAACCAGTCAAAGAGAAAACGAAACCAGTCAAAGAGAAATCAAAACCAGCCAGCGCAAAAAGTCGGAAGACATCTGAAGATAGAAAAAGCGGTGCAGCACCACCCCCCGTGATCGGTACAAAACCTCCACTAGCTTCGCCGTCAAAGACAAGCGTCCCTGAAAAGAAACCGGCACCTCTTCCTCCGCCGACAGACCTGGACGGTGAGATGTACACTGAGATGACGGCCAGCGTCCAGGAGGTGTACGTGCAGCCGGACCAGGGGCCAACCGAGGAATACACGGAGATGGCTCACGTCTCTCGCGAGGAGGACCAGCTGTATGAGGACACCGCTGCGAGCGAACCAGTCTCCCCACAGAAATCGACCGGCGACACTGCACCTCTGATAGACGAAGTACTCTATGACGATATGGATTCGACGGTAACGAGCTCAGACTACCAGAGAATAAAACAGAACCTATCCACGACTTCGCTGCCGATCAGAGCAAGGCCCGCCGGAAACAAGCCCCTCCCACGTCCGAGATCGGTGCAACCACTCCCCCAGACCCCTCTCGAAATATCGCTGCACGGAGTAAAGCCTCCGTCCATTACCGAAGAGCTGTACGAGGAGACAGATGGCAATGCACTCCCAACTGAGGAGACTTTGTACGAAGCAATCGTGATGCCAAATCGCCCGCTGCCTGACGAGCCTTCGCCTGAACTAGCTCCGAAAGATAAGGGTAGGAAAGGTAGCACCAACCCTCCACTCCCTCCCAAGGGAAGAAAATAGATACTTATTGTGTATTCCACAGACCACGTAGGCTAATTTTTAGCACGCACGGCTCCACTTTTTAACCCACTCCGTATTAAAATATTTTATGTGTATATACATAATTTGAAAGTAAAAACATGTCACTGTAATGCAAGTAGTCCGTTGTCTATCAAAAGCTGAACTTTTTGTCTTAGTTCTGGACTACCAGATGAAAGCATCCTATATACACACACAGAATGAAAATTCTTTTCAACCACGCCCGTTTAATCCACCGATGTACATACTGACCTTTGCGCCCTGGTGGGGTCCTCTCTGAGATGGCTGAAGAGCTGCTGAATTTGAGGATCGGAGAGAGCCTCTTTAACCCCTTCCTTCCCCAATACTTTCTCTACTTCTTCGTCCTTTTCGAGAGGAACATAGTCTACGAATAATATATAGAAGAAATCATAGTAGCCACTGAGCACCTTTCTCCAGAAAAAAAACCGGGAAAAAAGTGAGGGAAAACAGAGAAGGAACATTAAAGTAGGCCAGAGAGCATACGTTCGCTTTGTTTTTGTGAGTCTTGCTTGTCGGCCAGTTCCGTAAAGTGGCCCCCCATGACAGCACAGAACTCCCTCAGAACCTCCTGCAATTGGGGATCCCCGGCAGCGGTCCGGAGCACAGAATCGGGGTCGGTCTGGAACTGGGACAAGGCCCGAGCAAGCGTTGGGTCACGGAGTGCGCGGGAGAGGAGAGGGTGCTTCTCTATCTTCTCCAGTAGGGACCCAGTCATCCATTCTGAAAGACACATTATCAGCGAAAAACCGAGATTGTCTTACTCACCTTGCGTGTCCATAAGTGAGTATGCTTCTTTCATTGCCTCCTGTACTTCGGGAAGTACAGGAGCCTTTGCTGGGGGTTCCTGAGCCTTTAGAAATGGAATATCATCTTTCCCAGTCTTTGCTGAGGCAGTCTTCTTACAACCACCACCAGAACCTCCATTCTCCGCATCTTTTTTCTTAGTCTTTTTCGGTGTGGAAGAGGTTGAATTGGAGAGAAGAAACCCTTTGGAGAATCCCCCGAAAGACTTGGACTGACTGGAGCTTTCCTCCGGTTTCTTCGTTACTACTACTGCAGGCGTTGCGACCGGTTTTTCGGCCTCGTTGCGCATGCGCACACGTGGCTCGTAAAGCGGCCGCGGCCGCATTTTGTTCTTGGTGACTACATCGGTCAGGTCTTCGAGCGGAGGGACGCCTGGGAGAAAAGAGAGAGTAAAGAGAAAGCATATTCAGCTGCAAAACCACTTCCATTCACCTTCATCTTCCATTTTCCGCCCCTTCAACAAGCAAGACCGCGACGAGTCACGTGAGCTCTAGAATAAGCCCCACCCCATGCCACGCCCTTTCTTTAGTTCAAAGAAGGCGATGAGTCGTTCTCATATGATCTACGACGACCGGCCGCTGGCCCAGGAAGGCGTCAAGACGAGTAAATGGAACGGGAAATGGGATCCTCAGAGCCTCTCCAGCAAGTCCGTGCCTCGAGTGACTCACGACACGGATATTATCCTCACTTTTTTCCCTCCCTCTCAGTGGTACTGGTGTTCTGATGGAGGGAGTGTTCCATAAGATGGTCAAACACACCATACAAGACTCCACGGGGACTAAGGTCAGTGAAACCCATGAATTAAAGGACTCCCTGAGGTGTTTTTATTCAGAGATCACAGACAATTTCTTTTCATCTGTCTGTTAACCAAGGCCCTTCTTATTCAGTATAGATTCTTAGTGATCCCATGTGGAGTTCACAGGTGGCTGTTTGAGGAGGTTTGACTCACGAGGACAAGAGATCGAGGCCAACTTTGGCCAGACCTCACTAGTCAGAACTGGATACCTCCATTCCTCATACAGTGAGTCTGGAACACACTACAACCTCTGAATAAAGGACACCTCTCTACGATGGACACTTGGTTCTGCCCCATTATACATTTATACTTCCTCTGAATGAAATATATTCAGTGCTCAAAATGTTCCCCAACTAAAATTTCTTTTACTCTTTTCCTTCAGAGCAAGAGACAAAAGTAGCGGCAGACACAGTGGACTACAAGATGGTGGAGTCATTACTCCATTGCCAGCTCTCTTCTCTCGTTACCCCTACTCACTCCGGGGTACTCTGTCTCTGGGGTGAGGAGGAAGCCTACTCCCATGTCGAGGTGGAGTACGGACAACCAATCAGAGTCAAAACGAGAGGAAACTCTCCACTAATTGGTCAGTAGGAATCCTCTAAATAAGGGACACGTTGGGAACAGCGAAAGTGTCCTTTATTCAGAGTTTTCTCTTCTTTCAGAGGTAATATATAGTATAACCAAGCATTCTTGTAGAGATTAATTTGGAGGTTCATTTTGGAATACTGTAGACACTTCCCACGTGCATATTAGGCTAAAATGGGTTCGCAAGCATCAGTAAACAATGATGTAATCATGACATCATCTTCTAGACTCGTTCACAAAGCTGGATATGGTACAGAAGACGAGATCATCAAATTTCACTGGGGGCGAGGCCACGGGGGCTAGCTGGACATCTAAAGTAATGGGAGTTAAGCTGATGAAGGAGGTCCCTAGCACTCTAGCACAGGACGCAGTGGAGGGAGCTGCTGATGATGAGTGGGTAGGTTTACAGGTCATGTGACTGTCACATGATATAGCTCAGATATAGCAATGGTAATCTTTGGTGTGAACTATGATCAATCTTATGATCATGTTTGTTCTACAGGATGACTAGCTGCTGCCAAAATGTTTCAGGTTCTATTTTTAGCTCAACAAAACAATTCAGTGACACGTACCATCAGGCATTAGTTCATGTATAATTGAGATAATGTAATGATGATGTAATGTGAAATGATCATTTTTTAGTTTCTCTTCTGTCCCATCTCCATACGGTACCAGCGTCAGTAACACTCAGCAACATACTGCAACACATCAAGTATATAATATGTGTAAAGACAGCCGATGAGCTTTTGGGAGATAACGATTAGAGGCATACTTTCCATCCCTGCTGACTGTGACCTGTCTTATTGCGGCGGTGCACTTGCTGTGGGTGAGGAGGTGTGGCTTCCCTCGTGAGGGGTCCTCGCCCGTCAGGTCCCACATGTATATCTTCCCCACCTGGTTCCCCAGGACAAGAGTCTCGTAGAGACGGTCCAGACAGAACCGAATGTACCAAATGTCACAGTTTGTCACTTCGAATCTGCCCGTGTCCAGAGAGACAGTGGCAGAAGGTTCATGTGAATATGTGGATCATTAAATCCGTGATTTGAAACTTTATTGAACATTGTAGGATTAAGTCAATCTTCTCGGCCAAAAGTTAGTACACATTCAGGGCCTAAAAAGCCTAGTATATGCATCTAGGGCCGAAGTGGGTGTGGTTTGTTCTGAACCAACCTGTGCAGAACGTGGGTGTGGCTTGTTGCGGGTCTCGATTCAGCGGCGGTTTCCAGAGAACGATGCTGTTCTCGCAAGATTTTGACAGAGCCATCCTCCCAAACCACCGCACACAGTCGATGTAGTTACGGTGAACGTCCCGCGTGGAAAATAGCGGGAAATTGATCAGCGCCGTGGGGAAACTCCTGCAATCAAAATGTTCATGCTCAGCGTAAAATAATAACACTAACACATCACATCTACTGTTAATAAGGGAGAACTTGGGAACATGGAATATTAATATGTCATTAAGTTAGAGGTGTCTCTTACTCAGAGGTCGTGAGATATTCGTATGGGGCAGAACCAAGTGTCTATTGTAGAAAACTGTCCATTAATAATTGCAGGGTCCTTTTTCAGAGGTTTTACTTGTAGTGCTAAAAAACGACTCACTTTTTGATCCCTCGCTGGTACTTGTACGACTCCTGAACCACGTTCTTCAGTTCCAGAGACTCCATGTCCCAGACCTTGAGGGAGTGGTCCATCCCGCAGGAGAGAATGAGGGTTCCCGAGGGGTTAATGTCGGAACTCAGAACCTCGTCCCGGTGACCCTCCACTCCGCCAAATATGGCGACGCACACCGAGGTCTTGAGATTCCAGAACCTCAGTGCGTGGTCTGAGACCGGAACCAAAACATGGGAATGGAATCACGAACATGAACAATGAGTTTAAAATGTGTGTGTGGACCTTTGCTTGCAGAGAGGAGCAGTTCAGGATTGTTTGGATGGATTTTCAGTTCGTTGATGGCATTTCCATGACCAGAGAAAGACTAATGAGACGAAACAGACGATAAGAGAGATTAGTATTATATACACCATTAAGTTGTCTTACGGCTCTGCACGTGATTGTACTACTTCTGTATTAGAAAGAGGGAGAGAGGGAGAGAGGGAAAGAGAGCGACAAATGATGAAGACATGGTACACCATATAGGCCTATACTAACCCTATGATTCTGATAATTCCCTTCAGTCCGAGCAATGGCCAACAGGCTCTCCCCCGTCTCCTGATCAAAGGTCCAGGCACAAGTATAGAACACCTCATCCGGCTGAGAAGGAAGAGATCAGACTGCAAGGGTGGGTCCCTGCAATATTGTGAGCTACGGACTCACATCTGCGTCGCTGTATGCTTGCAGGAGATGTGATGGACCCGTCGTTGTTGCACTGGTACACTGTCGCCTACATAGGGGGAATTATACTGTGAGGTGGGCGATTGTCAATCTTGCATGCCTCAATAAGGACACCTCACTAATATAAGCACTTTCTTCTCTCCCATTGTGTCCGGATTAGAGGGTTCCACTGCACTGAGAGGACTTACTCGGTTGCTTCCAACAGTGGCAAAGACGTCCTTGTCAGTAATGTACCAGTTGAACTGGACTCCGAACAGCGGCTGCCCGTGCTCCTCCTGGGCATGTTACACGCCGACGTGTAACATTATTAGCAAGAGTATCGTCACCTTGACGCTCTGAACAAACCGGTAGCTCGGCTTCGACATCTCGGCTGTATCTCTATTTAGTGCGCGCCCTTAGATCCAAGCCCCGCCCACTATCCCAATACGCATGCGCAACGATTATCTTCTGGAAACCAATGGATGTAAAAGGAGCTGGGGATATTATACACAACATAAGCGAACATGGTGGATTGATGGAAGAGAGTTGTGGTCAAGTGATTCATACTGCATCTCCCTGTTAAAAAAAGAGCTGAAGACGCTTAAATTCCAACATAATCTAGATACCTGTCCCTCTCTTTCATGCTTTGCTAGCTGTGGGAGAAAACAACCGCAGTAGTCGAGTTGTGACTCAGCTAAGTGAGACGCAGGAACTCACTGCAGCTGTGAGCTCCACGACCTTTGCCTCCAGCTCTCTGTTCTTTCTCTGGAGCTCCTCATTTTCCCTCCGCAGCATCTCGGCATCGACCGGCTCCGGGAGACCTCCGTGCAGCTGCTGCTTCAAGAAACTGGTCCACCGGACCCTGAGTCAAGTCCAACACTAGGAGTAGCTACTGACACCTTTATACGTGTTTGGGCTGTCTGACATAATATGCACATCCTCTCAGTAAAACGTATTGACAGACTAGTGCGGGGTTGGTACAAGCAGGCTATGCAGTCCCTTGATTGTGAGATGAGGATACACCAGTGGATCGTTTGGTTTCTCTGGTTCTTCATAGAGCCCCACTAGAACTGCGGTAAGCAGATGGAAAGATGCTAAGCAAACGTTCTCTTCTTGTACACCCACCTTTTGTGAGGGCGTCCAGAACTCCAGCACTCTCCAGGTATTTCCTGAACTCTTCCTTCTTGGTCTCGGTCTACGGGTTGAACGGCAGAGCGGGGGGCGTCTAATACGTCTAAAAAGAGGCTCACCTTTTGAGACATGACGACGCGGCTGGCGGGCTAAAGTTCTCTTTCCCGAAATAAGTGGGCGGGCGCGGGTAGAATAGGTGTGCAGTAATTAGAAACACGCCGCGATGACGTCATTCTTCGTTTCTCACATGTTGTGTAGAGGAGCTTCACTCTCTGCAAGGAAAAGCGGCGGAAGTGACTGTACCTTACAGGGGCTCTCGGTGTTGTGATCTCTCACCTGATTGTTGGAAGGTGAGCGACCTCTGTTTCAGAATGCTGCTGCGGGAGATTCCCGTCTTCGTAGAAATTGGCTTGGCGCAACACTTACCGGACACGCGGAGTTTAGTATCAAGTTGCACGTTGCAGAACTGGCCTTAATTTTATGTGCACCTACACGCACCTTCCACCGCCGGGTACATGTACTGCCGTCCTAGGCGTGGGCTCTTGGAAACAGCTACGTCTAATGTTCCCGCGAAAAAAAACGTGACATCCTAGCACGCACCGCTGGTTAGCTCACTCCGGGGTTAGGCAGCGCCAGGTGACCTGGCACCTAGCTCGACCTACAGAACTGTACCGACACGTTCTTACGTACGTATAGCTTAGCTTGCAGCAACAGCCGCGCGCTAAACGAAGTCTGCCAACTTAGTGAATAGGGAAATGGGATGCTTCAGCGCTTCACTTACACCAAGCAAGCCCTATCCGAGATCTTCGGTGACAACTAAAGCCAGGTGCTAACTAACCGTTGGATTGAAGGGATATTAGCTAGATGGACGAAGAAGGCGAGTTTTTGGAGCGGAGGAATTCGTCGGTTCATTGGCCGTCCAGGAGAAAAGGTTAGTCCGTGGTATGGTGTCAAATGACAACCTCTTTCGAGCGCATGTGGGGAGTTGGTTGGTAGCATACCGCGCATAGCACCTCCCGCCTGGGATTGTCGGCCACATCAAAGGTCGTGCCGCAAAAGTGCAAACTCGAATCTGACTACAACTGTTCGGACAAGTAATGGCGCATAGGAGAGGATGGCTAAGACGAGGTTTGTATCTCTGGCCAGCTAGCTAGCAGTGTGCGGCAGATTGATAGTGTACAGCATCAGACCAACGCCGCGTAAAACTAACTAGCGGATGTCGGCGTCGAAACGCGGAGGATGCCGCGACTCTAATTGATGCCCACCCTGTTACACTTGAGGGTATTCACGGACATTTTGTCCGCGCCACTGCAGATCCGAAGATGCCGCTAGCCCAGGCCCATCCCTTCGAGCCGATGCCCGTCACCCACGAGGAAGAAATGCAAGAGGTGAGCCAAGGCGAGAGAGAGAGAGATAATGTTTGTTTTACAACGGGTCGCCTTTTGCGGCGATATGACCTCATTCGTGTGGCTGCTTCCTCTCATGTTTCGCAACCGCGAGTTAGGAAGCTGCGGATCCGGCACCGTTTCGTTCGCAGCCCAGCGAGGCTTGTACTTTGGGAACCTCGTGATACGTATGACCTCTTGTATTCGCTGCTGTAGTCGCTTTTGTCGCCGCTCGGCCCTGATTTCGTATTCACACTTCGCGCGTGTACCCGAACACGCTAGCCCTCCGGTGCAGTAAAGTTTCGATCGCTTCGCTATTACAAAGCCACTGCATTCGTCTACGGTTTGAAATTATGCTCGCCACGCGGAGTTACTTCTGCGGCGGGGAGCCCGTTTCCGCGGGAGATCTGCTGGTTCCCGCCGTTCAGAAGCTCTCTATCATCTCCCAGGGAGACGTGGAGTCCACTAATGGAAGCGGTGGGCCAGGAGACAAGTCCTCTGAGGTAGCCATGGTAAGTTAGACGTTTACACACGTTTGTGTATCTAATCGGTGGACTTTTGGTTTTGTTAGTATATACCCATCTGTGATAGTAGCTACTATCTGTCACAATAGAAGAGTAGTTTTTACACGTCAGTTTTTCTTTTTATTCAGCGCAGGTGGCAATAATGTGAACTGGGTAGCCATAACAGACTTGCACGCACGACTACACTCCCCATTACAAGAACGAGAATTGAGCCAGGTCCATTTCGTACATGGACGTTAATGGAGGTCGTGTGTATCCAGTCGCAAACGATTGCCTTCTTACCCTGTCACCTTACAACACTACATCTATCGTGACTATCTGTAGCCTGTCTCTTTCTAAAGACCATCAGATAATTATCGTCTAGTTCACTCGCTCGGTATAGGTATTGCAATGATGTAATGATGATGTCACTTTTACAGGAGCACGAGACCGAGTACAGCTTGGCTCAGATAGTGGAAGAGTGTGGGAGCATTAAGAAGGCGGACCCGACACAGTTTGAACTGCTCAAGGTTCTTGGTCAAGGCTCCTTTGGAAAGGTTTGACTCTTTCGTACTATATAGCTACTTGACTCTCTCCTCTCTCTTCCTGCACCTCTCTTTTCTCTGCCTTTCTCCTTAATTCCACATCTCTTCTCTCTCTGCTATCAGGTCTTTTTAGTCAGGAAGGCAGTTGGAAAAGACGTAGGGAAACTATATGCTATGAAAGTCCTTAAAAAGGCATCTCTAAAAGGTGCACTGAATTTCTTGTGTGTTGCTGGGTCATTGATTGACCCTATTGTACTCCCTGCGTTACCTTGTGTTGCTAGTGTGTCACATGACCTGTGTACATGGTTTCTATGGTGTCACATGACCTTGGTTTTCCCCCGTGTTCAGTTCGTGACCGACTACGGACAAAAATGGAGAGAGACATTTTAGCGGAAATGAGGCACCCTTTTATAGTTACCCTAGAATATGGTGAGCTCTCACACACACACGCTCTCTCTTATTAAAACCCTTTCTCTCTCCTCTCGTTAACCCTTTCTCTCTCCTCCCATTACCCTCTGTCCCACCACCCCCGGCAGCGTTCCAGACGGAGGGTAAACTCTACCTGGTCCTAGAGTTCCTCCGAGGAGGTGACCTCTTCACGCGACTCTCGAAAGAGGTGAGAGTAAAATGAACCTTGACCTCAACCGAGCGTTGACGTCTGACCCCTCCTCACAAGGTGATGTTCACGGAGGACGATGTGAAGTTTTATCTGGCGGAGTTGGCCCTGGCTCTCGATCACTTGCACACCGTTGGCATTGTATACCGGGACCTCAAGCCTGAAAAGTAAGCCCCGAGAACCAAATTCCGAATGAAGGCGCTCACAAATAACAAGCAGTTTTGGAAGCGTGTGTTATGATAAATAATATATCCTCAAATTGTTAACATGGAGCGAGTGTTACAAGGGGTGTTCCTCCATTCCACAGCATATTGCTGGACTCTGAAGGGCATATCAAACTTACTGGTGAGTGCGTAAGTTAGGTATATATACACACCTGTTGTTATGGAAGCGGAGGGCCCCTACTTAATTAGTCTCTGAATTATCTCGTTTGATGGTTAATTATGTGTTAGAGCTGGTTCTATGTGAGTCAGCTGAGCTTACATCTCATCTTTTTTCTCTTGGCATCACATGGTCTAATACCTTCATGCAAAGAATTGGTCGCGTTTTCACAAGCTGACATGGCTGGAATTGCAACTAGTGTTTTGGTGACTTAGCTGTGTGTGTGTAAACATGGTAGTACTAGTGGGAAGTATAGTGTGCGTACATGACAGGGTAGTTAGCACGTGCAGCTTCAATAGGCTGACAGGTTTTCCCTAGTCGTCGTGTCATGCAGTTTGACCTTATAGTGTGTCCGGGCACTACTGGACTTCCCTGGCAACACTGATCCCTCTCTCTCCCTCTCTCTCTCTCTCTCTCTGTGTGTGCTTCTATTCCTCTTCCTTGTGCCTCTCTCCTCCCTTTTGCTTGCTTGCTTGTTACCCCATCTCTCTCCCTCCCCATCTCTCGCAGACTTTGGCCTCAGTAAGGAGGCAGTAGAGGACAAGAAGACATTCTCATTCTGTGGTACTGTCGAGTACATGGCCCCCGAGGTCGTCAATAGGAAAGGTCACGGAACCACGGCCGACTGGTGGTCATTTGGAGTCCTCATGGTAACTGAAAACTCACCTGCGAAATCTTGTTTAGCGATTTACTTGTCTTTTATCTTTTATCCTCTCTCCAATTTCCCCTCTTTTCCCTCATTTCTCGCAGTACGAGATGTTGACAGGCTCTCTGCCGTTTCAAGGGGAAAATAGAAAAGCCACAATGACAATGATCTTGAAGTAAGCCACATCTCTCAATTTGGCCTCTCATTATCTCTCTTCCTTCTCCCCCTCTGCTCCCTCCTCGTCCCCAGAGCTAAACTTGGCATGCCGCAGTTCCTATCACCAGAGGCACAGAGCCTCCTGCGAGTACTGTTTAAGAGAAACCCGCAAAACCGGTTGGGAAACGGGCAAAACGGGATCGAGAACGTCAAAGCCCACGCCTTCTTCAAGACCATTGATTGGGAGGTGAGAAAAAACCTGTTTTACCTCCCGAAATACGACTCTGAATTAAGGCCCCTTCCTTCTACAAAGGACACTTGGTTCTGCAACATTATCTACGAAAAGGGGATACCTCTGAATAAAGAATTAAACATTGAATATCCGCGGGTCCTTTAGGCACAGAGGTTCATTGTACTCGGGGCCGACCTCTTTCTCTCCATCTCACTGTCTCCCTCTCTTTTCTCAGAAACTTGTTGGTAGAGAGGTGCCTCCTCCGTTCAAGCCAGCCTGCGGTCGTGCCGACGACGCTTATTACTTTGACACCGAGTTCACCTCAAGAACACCGAAAGGTGGGCCGAGTCTCTCTGGTCACATGACATCATGTGATCCACGTGTGTATGGCGATAATAAGGACACTTCACTAGTAGTGTTGTTGTAGTGGCTACAGGTGTTGTAAAGTGTGTAAAACTGGTTTCATATTCCTGTTTTCCTGTTTGTCACGCCAGACTCGCCGGCAGTTCCGGTCAGCGCCACGTCCAAGGAGCTGTTCAGGGGATTCAGTTACATTGCCCCTACCCTTGACGAGGTGGGTGGAGTCTTCGTAGTCTATTTTTAGCACGGATTACATAATTGTGTTGTGGGAGGAAGTGATTTCAACTGATCCAGGAAATTGGGGATGGGAGGGGGAGGGATGCATTCCTCTTGTCCCCTGGGTAATTGGTGTGGTGGGTTGTTGCAGCTGTTTCTGTTGCCAGGGGAAACTAGAAAATATGTAAATTGGAAAAGCAGGAAGATGTGTAAAACCTGTTGGTTAGTCTCTCTTCTTCAATATAACTCTCAGGGGTGCCATATGGGGATAAGATGATCGGGGATTCTGTTTTAAGGCCCTTGCCAGGGATGGTGAGAGAAACCTGGGAATAAGGAAGTAGAACCCGCATTTAGTGTAAGGGTGTGCCCGGGGTGGGAATCATGTGACGGTCATGTGATCTATGGCTTGTTTCCTTTTGGAGTGTGTCTGTCTGGGTTTATTCGGACGTTTCCTTTTTCCGAGGTTTCACTGTACATGATACATACATATGTATGTGCTATATATGAGTTGTGTCTGTGGTGTGGTGTGTGCAGGAAGAGAAGAAGCCAGCTGTCCCTCCCCGCGTTCTTGGTCCATCGTCCACACTCCATCTCTCAACTGTGAGCATTGCTCTGTACATTACCATATACACCACATTTTAAATAAAATGGCGTTCAAGTGATGTGTCCTGTCTTGTTTGATGGTCAACCAAAGGTGCAGGGAAGACGCTGACAATGAGAGCTTGTCTCTATGTCCATTATAAGATGCCATCAACATACTGTCCCTTTATAATGTTACAACACAAGCAGATGTTACTAAAGATAGAACAAAACAATAGGTCACCGCGAAAGGTCCATTTTTAGTAACATTGGCACTTATCTTATACTGCCTTTAGCCACGTGTGTTTCAGAGCCACTGTCTAACGTTCAGTGTATCATCCACAGCTGGGGTCCCCGCTACCAGTTAACACAGGCGCAATACAGGACGACTATGAGATTTGTGAAGATACGGTCGGCTACGGGTCTTACTCCGTCTGCAAGAGATGCGTCCATAGAGCCACTGGCCAAGACTGTGCCGTAAAGGTCAGCTTATTTATACACAGAAATTTTGTTTTTTTTGTGAATCTGGGAAACATACCCCTTCCTCTATTCCACCATCTTTTCTCTCCCTTCCTCTATTCCACCATTTTTTCTCTTTTTGCTAAGTTGAGCTTCGCAGGGTGTTTCTGTGAATTTTGTTTCTGCGAATTTTTTTCTTGCGTCTACTCTCCTAGAACTTAGTTTATTTCTTCATCCCTTTTGACGCTCATCGCCCAGTTTGCGAGTTTAGTATATTTTCCTGATCTAAAACTGTAAAATTCTGTGCCGCATTTCGTAGATCATTGACAAGGCCAAGTCAAATAGAGATGTGGATGAAGAGATCGAGATTTTGCTTCGCTACGGACAACACCCCAACATCATCAAGCTCAAAGAGGTGCGGCACACTGTGATCACATGACTGTCCTCGCGTGATCACATGACTGTCACGTGACCTACAGGTGTACGACGACGGGTACAAGGTGTACATGGTGATGGAGATGATGAAAGGTGGAGAACTTCTCGACAGAATCCTACAACAGACTTACTTCTCCGAAAGAGAAGCCGCGAGCATCGTTTACGTTCTCGTGAGTAGGGTCCTCCCCTTAATTAGTCATGTGACTGTCACATGGTACCACAGGCAACCACGATCAACTACCTGCACAAACAAGGAGTGGTGCACCGGGATTTGAAGCCGGCCAATCTGTTGTACGCCAGTCCTGCGTGCAAGCCCGAGAGTCTGAGGATTGCCGACTTTGGCTTTGCCAAGCAGCTGCGGGCAGAGAACGGGCTGCTCATGACCCCCTGCTACACCGCTAATTTCGTGGCCCCAGAGGTACATTTTTAATGCCTACATCAAAGAATTTCAGGGTGTGTTTTAGAGTGAAAGGTGTGTCATAGTACAGGCTCTTCCCCTTTGTATTGTCAGTATGTGTAAATGAGTGGATATCCTACTGGTGTGCAGGTTTTGAAGAAGCAAGGATATGATGCTGCCATTGACATTTGGAGTCTCGGAGTTCTCCTGTATACTATGCTTGCCGGGTGAGTAAATATTGGCACATTTTCAGGGGAGGGGGGACTGCGAATTAATTCCCCACTGTACTCTGTACTCTACCTCCATTGAGTATGTGGATTACGTAACACACTTGCCTCCGTCCTCATTCCATTCCAGCTCCACCCCCTTTGCGACGGGTCCCGAGGACACGGCGGAGGACATCCTGGCGAGGATCGGTGAGGGGAAGATCTCTCTCACTGGAGGCAACTGGAACTCCATCTCCTCTGCCGCCAAGGACCTGGTCCTGAGGATGCTCCACGTGGACCCTATGCAGCGATACACTGCGGCTCAGGTCCTGCAGCACCAGTGGGTGACCTCCCGCTCCTCTCTTCCCGACTCCAAACTCTCCATCAAAGACACCAAGATCAAGGTGAGCTTGATTCAGCCCCTCTTTCTCTCTTCGACTCTCCCTAACTGTCCTCTATTCTTTCTACTGCCGTAGATAGAGATGAGTTTTTGAACAACACACCTACAGTTCATGTAGAAAAAACCATGTGATGCCATGTCATGCATAGGTTTACAGTATTTCACAAATGGGATAGAAACCTCTTCCTTCTAGTCCTCCCTTCCTATGATAATACTCTCTCTTTCCACTCTCTTTCAACGTATTGTATCTCTCACTTTTCCTCTGTTGTTTATCACCCCCTCTCCTCCCCCGTTTCTCTCCAGGGAGCCATGAAGGCGACGTTTGATGCCCTCTCCCGTCCTCCGACCGCCACCCTAGACCCCGTCGACAACTCAACACTAGCCCAGCGACGCCTGAACAAGAGGAGCTCCAATTCCTGATCGAAACTCACCCCACCTTTAATCACACGTCCACTTTTCTCAGGGACACCCCCAATATTATATATATATATACTTCTACCAACACTGTTGTTATAGAAACATGTATATACACGCACTAATGCACATAAACCCTTTTGCCTTGTTGTTTTTGAGGCTTCTGCTACTGTTATTTTGCGTTGCAAGAAGCCCATTTTGTATCACTCTGTCGTCCTCTAATCATAAGTTAAGTTATATTATTTTGCATCAGTTCTGAAATGATAGCTATTTATTGTGAGTTTGGTATTCTACGTGCGTGCAGAAAATCGTGTCGCGCGTGCGTTCCGATATTAAACGCATGCGCGATATTTTTACGCATACATGTGGGGCAACCCACCGGCCGTCTTGCGTGTGTGTCCGTGTGGTCGTAGCATGAGCAACAGTAGCGACACTTCTAGTCCGGTTGTGTCTAGCCACGTGTCTCTCTGCGACGAGGGGGAAGACGGGGCCGCAGAAGACGACGGTTCGTGGGCGAAAAACGGCGCTGGAGACGCGATGTTGGAACAGCTGAAAGTCTTGGAGCCTAGCGACCGAGTGAGGGAGCTGCAGACCATCCTCAGAGATAGGTGAGTGGAGGAAGATGGGAGTGCTAGGCGTTTGCATCACCGCTCTCTTACCTCTATTGCAGCACTACGTCAAGGGGCGATTTCATCTTCTACGCCGATAGACTGGTGCGTAAAACGTAACGTTAGCGGTGCGTGTGCAGTTTTCGCTTCTCGTTTTACGTCCCACAGATAAGAGTGATGGTAGAGGAAGGATTGAACTGCCTTCCGTCTTACAAACGAACGGTTATTACACCAACTGGTAAGCCTGTCGTTACTGTGCACTCCAGAGTACATTACCCACCCTTTCACTCCTACAGGTCATGAATATGAAGGAGAATGGTTTGAGAAGTGGAACTGTGCAGTTAGTATCCTGCGCAGTGGTATGTACAGATGAGAGATAGGGAGAGTATATATAAGCAAATTTCGCCCACCAGGTGAAGCCATGGAAAAGGGGCTCCGGGAGTGCTGCCGTTCCATGCGGATTGGGAAGATTCTCATACGCAGAGACCAGGACACCAAATTACCACGAGTAAGACACCACACCCACTCAGTGAACACTACAGTATGATATTATAGTGGAACAGCTATATACTGCAAGTTAATGACACAGTTTGTGTAAAGGATACTTTTTGGAATGATGTGAGTGGTTTTGGTGTGCCTGCAGGTGTACTATGCCAAGTTTCCACCACAAGTTGACAAGAGACAGATACTGCTGCTTCATCCTGTGTTAGGTGGGCCTGTATAAACCCTCTTATTTGCCACCCCTTCCTTCTTTCCCTACGACTTCCTTTCATTTCTGTTTTTCTCGCCCTCTTCAGTTTATCTTTCTATTTTCATCTTGTCTTCTCTTCTTCTTCCGTTCTCTTCCCTCCGCCCCTCCTTTCTCTCTCTCTATCCTCTCTGCCTTCCTCATTCCTCCATTGCCTCTCTCCAGAATCTGGCGCCACAGCCAAAGAAGCTCTAAACATCCTCAAAGAACACGGCGTCAGAGAAGAGAAGATTCACATCATTTCTCTCTTCGCAACACCCCGCGGAGTACACAAACTACTCAAGGACTATCCCAAAATCACGATACTGACGTCAGAGGTGCACCCGTGTTCCCCCTCCCACTTCGGAATGACCTACTTTGGCTCCGACTAAACACACTGCGCAGAGAGTCTGAGCAGTTTTTGAATTTGAATCACGACCAATGAGACTGTCTTGTATAAATAGACCGACATGTTTGGCATTCGATCTTTGTTCATTAAACACTTTATTATGGAGTGTGGATTCAGCATAAATATTTGCTGTCGACATCTGCGTCCCATGAAAATTTTACCTCAAGTATTATTAACCCCAATGAACCCTGCCAAAGTTAATGGAGTAGAGACATGATTGGAGTCCCACAAGGTCATGAATATCATTACACTGCCCCCCCATCGGTCAGACGGACTGCTGTGACAGGGAATGAACGGAATCCACAAACACCTTCAGATGCTCGGGATCCATGTCTGGATAGATCCCGTGACCGAGGTTTGCAATCCAGCTCTGCCGTCCAAACCCTCTCACCATCTCCTGCACCCTTCCCACTATGTCTTCCTGTGACAGTGACGGAGGGAGGGGAGGAGAAGCTTAAAACCTTAATAGCTAATTACTTTTACAAAGTTTATCAATGAGAATCGCTTTATTGCGAGAACTACAGTGGAAAGAAAACGTACTTTTGAACCATATAGTGCACAAGGGTCGAGGTTGCCTTGGAGACAGACTCCACCCCCAACAGCTCGTCTGAATCCGGTGGTGGTATGTAATTAAGGTCACGTGACACATCATGTGATCCCTCACCTGGCTTCGCTGGGGTCGTGGGTCCAGTCAATTCCGACGACATCATACCCGCTGGATCCGAGATCGGGCAGAGCGTAGTGAGCTCCTTTGGCAAAGACAATCTGAGAAACAAACGGACACACACACTCTCTCCCATTCCCACTTCCTAGAGTTACTCATCTACGTTCTAATTCTGCAATTGGCGGATCTGTAGTACATAATGTAATATATCATTCACACATGCTTAGACGTGAAAATCACCAGCCACATAGAACATTAAGAATTCTCTCTCTCTCTCTCTCCACTCACCAATGGAACATTGGGCAGTCCACTCTGTTGCAGTCGCTCCCTCAGTTTATTGGCAATTTGTGTCAAGTAGAGGAGAGAAAATTCCTCAAACTGCTTCGTACCAAGTATACCAGCATGAGATTCAAACACCTGCAAACATACACACACACACTGGAAACTTCAACCAAGCTGGTTACAGAGGTCAGATCTTATCAGTGAAAATGTTCAACTTATAGACGTGAAACTAGGAGAGAAGAGAGATGCACTCACCTGCAAACACACACACACACACACACACCGGAAAATTCAACAAGCTAGGAGAGAAGAGAGATGCACTCACCTGCAAAGCCTGAGCCCCGGCTTTGACCTGTCCCTCCAGATACTCCACGCAGACGTCGGTAATGGCCTGCAGCAGCTGGTGACTGGCGTCCTTGTGTCGGTAGAGCCAAGCCTTCGCCCTGCTGATGGTGTTGCTACCCCCACCCTCTATCATGTAGGACATGAGCGTCCACTGAAAAAGCACGAAGGAAAAGTAAGAGAGAGATAATCCAAGGTGTGTCCTACATATCGCATAAGTAAAAAAGGTTTCGCAATCAAAATATTTTGTGATTTTATGAAATTGCAATAGTTTTAGGATGCCATGCACGGTGTTGGAGTTTTACATTATTCTGACCCTCTTCTCTCCCACCTCTACTCTGTGTAATGTAACTGCTGATAGTATACTGACTGGAGCGCCACAGAAGCCAATGAGAGGCACTTTCCCCTCCAGTCTCCGTCTGGTGAGGGAGATTGCGGAGAAGACATAGCCCAGCTCTTTGTCGACATCCACCGACAGAGAGAGTTTCTAGAGAGGGAGTGAGGGAGGAGGTAGCAAGGGAGAGGGACAGAGATTATGGCTGAGAAAGAACACACCTGAATCGAGGACAATTCTCTAATAAGAACCCCAGAGCAGTTCTTGCTTACAATGTAACCCCTGAAATAAGGACACCTCACTAATATGGACACTTTCTTCTGTTTCATTGGGTGCCTGGATTAGAGCGAGTTCCAGTGTATGTTGTGTAGTATGAGAGAAGACATGTGAGGGTGGATGAACCTTCATGTCTTCTGGGCTGTCCAGTCGCTCGGGGAAATGTGGTCCCTACGGAAACACGCCAGAAACTGGTAACAAACTGGTTGCTCTGGCCACCAAACAACTCTCACATACCTTTCCCTTCACCATCTCCACAGTCATTCCCATTGCTTGTGGGACAACAAGGATATCGCTGAAGATGATGGCTGCATCCAGGTCAAACCTTGCTAGGGGCTGCAGAGATCATTATTATGGAGATTTGATACGCAGAAACCTAAGCACAAGAATTTGTTACATTTTTCTTGCTGGGTCACCAAAATGCAGGCGGACCCCTTGGTTGTACGAAATATATATATAGTGGGAATCTGTGACGTAACACAGCGGAAATCTATGCGCTGCGTCCACATCTACCGTGAACGTTACAAAAAGCAGCCATTATCAGAGATTCCTGCAGTCATCACACGGGTCTAAGACCAGCGTACCTGCAGTGTGACCTCGCACGCTAGCTCCGGCGTCCGGCAGATAGTGAAAAAGTCGTGCTTCTCCCTCGTGGCGCGAAATTCTGAGAGAAAGTATCGTTTCCACGCGAAAACGGAGATATAAAAGTGATCAAACCTGGTAGATAGCGCCCGGCCTGGCGCATCACCCAAACCGGCACTCTCTCCACCGTCTCTCCACGAGCGGCTCGTAGCAACAGGTCGTTCTTTAGCTCGGGAAAGTCGGCCATCGCTTCCTTAACAGTTTAGCCCTGCCCACTAATAGAAATCTGCGCATGCTTCCCTATACGTTTACGTTGCAGAGCTAGAGCGCTATGCCGCTGGCGCATGCGCTTATATTTAGCTCGACCGGGTCCGCTTGCTCTGTCTATCTTGAAGGCACAAGAAGTCACAACGAATGGCGTGTATCGACTCTCGCGTGCTATCTACTACTGTAGCTAGCCCGTGTCAGACTCTCTGCGAGCTACTTCGCCGTATTTTTGTCAAATTTTTTTTTGACCTTTTTTTTGGGTAATACCAAAATTATAGAGAGATGAAAGGTTGGCAATTTTCACCTTATATATTTTTTGGCCTCAAACAGATATAGGGCTGGCCATTTTTTTTCCAACATAACATGCTGTTCTATGGTCAAGACCATCAATTGTGGTGGTGCCACACTTGTGTATGGGTTCCACATTTCTATAGAGTGTGCCGAGGGTTTGCACTTTAGTGCTTTTTATTGCTTGCGCAATTGTTTTTGACATGAACACCAAGTTTCAAAAGCTTTCAAAATCCTCCATGTCCTTTACTGAAATCTCTGCAGTCACATCCATAGCAACAGACTCGTCTTCACATTCCACTCCACTGGCGTCTCCCTGACCAGATTCCATTCCACCCGGCTCCGTCTTTGGCATGGAATCAAGACCTCCCCTCACCCTGCGACTCTCGGCAAAATACTGCGACGGATGCTCCAGACTGAACGGTGCCGACTGCAACTAAAACACAACATAATTATGATGCAATAAAAAATGTCTTTACACGTCAATAAAAACAGGTGGGCCTAATGATAGAGGACGAAGAATCACAAAGAATTGGAATAATAATGAATTACATCATTATGACGTAATGCTGATTGCCAGGTAACCTTGTGGGTGATTTCGAAGTACTTTTGGCAGGCGAGTTGATAGTGTGAGCTCTCCACAAACTCCAGCACACTCTGACCGTCCTTGCTAGAGAGTCCGTGTGACTGGAGCATGGTAGTCATGTGACTTCGGTCCCAGTGACGAAACGGACATCCTGCAGGGGGCGTGGTCTCAAAATTAGTTTTGGCCAATGTTTTACTGGTTACCGTGGTGATCTCCCTGGGTGGGTGTGTTAGACATGATGATCTTCATGCAGGAGTAGGGAGTGTAGTTGGCTCTCTTCCCCTCTTTGCCGTAGCTGTGTCTCACATGGTACGCATACTGTTTGTCAAACTGGGTTGAAATCAATGAACCGCGTTAATCCAGACACCAATGTGTGACAGAAGAAAGCGTCCATACCTTGTCTGGGTCCATTTTCTTTGTGAATTCCGCTCTCCAAAACGCCAGAGCACCGTCTAAAGAAAGCCCTAAACCCCACAAAAAAGCATTTAAAAACCATTAGCTGCAAAAAGACATTTAGTTTGCAAAAGCCAAGATTAGGACAAGGAACATTTCAGGACACGAAATTTCAGGACGTCCTAATGACTCACCGATACTCTTGAGGAATAATCCATACTGGAGACGGCCAAAGTGCTTCAGATGGTGTTCTGACCTCAGAGTCTCATGGAGGTTCCGCATGCAGGGAGGGAACGATTCCTTGCTCAGCTGAGGCAGTGAGGAAGGAGTTAAAATTGCCCACTGAATCTGTGTGAATGAATACCATGTCTTTTAACCCCTAACTCACTGTATTTATCTGGGAGGGATGAACTTGGCCACTTATTTCAGTTCCGGTGTTGAAATCTTCGCCAAGATAGCGATCTCTGACATAGAGTAAAAATTTTGCGATTTCGTTACACGATTTGCTACCTGCTAGCTAATGTACACATATAGGGAGTAAAATTAAAAGCTGCAAGGAGAGAGGGAATCTAACTTTAGTCTCTTCAGGAACGGTGCCAGTCGCTCGTCGTCGTCGACAACCGCCAGGTGATGCAGCGTTTTCTACGTGGATCACATGACGTAAAGGACGAGATAACATGACATCATGCGATCTACATACCACCAGCTCCTCGGAGACCCTGGTTCTGAACTTGTTGCACACCAGGGAGAGAAGTAAGTCGTCTTTGTGAGGAACGTACCCGTAGCCCTGAAAATCAGCAAGTTGATCAAACATTTTGCATAAATAAGTTTTGCCACAAGGACTGCATACAACTCACATTCTTTATCACTACTTGACGAGACTGGACCAGATCTAGGGCAGCTGTGAATGGAACCTGGGGGATGGGAGAATGCAATTACCAGAATGGGGGAATGCGTATACAAATATAAAAATTTTCGGAGATCCTTGTTTGCATAATAGTAAGTACCTTGATGCATGATGTCAGCTCTGAATTTCCACTGTAGAACAACTGAACCTCTGACAGCTGGGGAAACATTATTTCTTCACACAAACTAGCTAATAATGTTGCCCTACTGTAGTTTCGTCCAGTTCAGTCGCCTCGACATGAACAAAGTTCAAATCTTTCTCATATTCTGTGAAAAATCTCCTCCTTGTCGATTTGATGGCAAAGATACGCAAAGCGACACCTGAAGAGAGGGAGGAAGGGAGAAGAGAGATAGAGTAAACGGTTTTATCATGAGAATTCCATTTTTCATTAAACAATTGGAGCCAATCTGTGTGCGGTAAATATTTGGTAGAAGTAGAAAATTTGCCGATTGCATTTACCTGAGAAGCTCTGTTTCTTGTGTGAGAAACCACCGCCTCATTTCCTCTCTGGATGGGAAAAATGTTTAGGCTCCATTATTCTGTACTGATGACCGATCAGCTACAGGGAGTGGGAGGAGTTTGAACTGACGTGCGGCAGTAGGCAAGTCGGAGGATGTAGTGAGAGATGTGGTCTCTTCGTCTGTTTTCCTGCTGTCTCCTCAGGACATTCTCCTTCCTCTTCCGCTCGTCAAGAGTCAGCACATTATCAAACTCTTGGTGCAACTAGAGAAAACAATCACATCTATTCCCCAGACCGTACGAGACCGAGTAGGACTATAATGGGACCAGCCTCTATACCAACCCCTAGTGGAATGGTGTCTGCCCCCTTCACTACTGGTTTCATGTGAGTCTCGTATTCCTCGTTGTTCCTGTGGACTCCGTCGTGAGCCAGCTTCACCCTCTTGCTCTCCACCGCCTGCAAAACTGGAGGAAAGGAGGGCGCCAATACATGCAAGTCTGGTGCACACACAAATTGGCCACTTCTTGCAAACTTCTGTTGAGCCACTAGGCTGTTTTGGCTAATGGTACGGGAATCCCTGATACGGCCGGTCCCTAGTGCTTACTTACGTCTCAGCCGCTTCTCGGCCAGCTCCTCGAACTCTTGCAGACTCACCACCTCCGTGGGAGGGAGTTTGTACAGCTGGAGAGCGCAGGGATAGCTGCACGCCACCCGGGACTTTCGTCCCCTCGTCCTTTGCATGAACTCCATGGAAGAGTTCGAACGTCGCAATTTCCCGCTTCCCGCGCCTGCAGCTTTTGTTCTAAATAAAGCTCACCAGGAGGAGACGCTTTCGCCTTTGATTCAGTGTCGAGGAACCTTGCCCGAGAGGTGGTTGGAGGCCATGTCGTCTTACAAGAAAAGCGGCAAGTCCCTGAAAAGGACGCACAGGGAAAGAGGACAGGTGAGTGCAGTACCCGGACGCCTCCGCGCGGCGTGGATCGCTAAACTCTATTTGGTGCACACCTACCTTCTAGCCCTCAGCGAGAAAACACTTAGGATTGCTGGAGAAGCACAAGGACTATGTACTGCGGGCAAGGTTAGCCTCTTTTACCATGCCAGAATTTTTTTTCATCACTAAACCTCCAGGGACTACAACAAGAAGAAGAAATACATCAAGTCTTTACAAGAAAAGGTAGAGGTGGATATTTTGGGGTGTCCATTCAAAAAAACTTGCAACTTTTTATGTCTTCAGGCAAGAAACAAGAACCCAGATGAGTTTTACTACCGAATGATCAATGAGAAACTAAAGGTGTGTAATATTAGTGCTATGGATGGTCACGTGACTCACATGTGATAATCATGTGACCCACCCCACATAAAGAACGGGCGTCATGTGATCCCTCAAGAGGAGGAGAAGTTCACGGATGACCAGTTGAAGGTGATGAAGACTCAGGATATCAAATACGTGGAGATGAAATATCGCATCGAAAGAAAGGTATTAAGTATTATTAGTGACCAAAAGTGTACTATGACATCATTGTGTATTGCGTAGAAGGTCGAGCGTTTGAGGTCAGGGCTTCACCTAATCAGCAGTCAACCGACCAATACTCACACTATATTTGTTGACTCTGTAGAAGAAGGTATGTTGCTCTACTTAAAGAGAATAAGTTACTGAAATGAGGACACCCGTCTAATAAGGACAACTTGTTCCTTTCATGCTGTTTAAACTCCTAAGGACACCTCAGTAAGATGGACACTTCTAACTGTCCCAGATTACACTGTTAAACACTTCATCGCTTGCTTTTTCAGTTGCTAACTTTGAGCCAGCCGGTCACTTTGAAACCGAGCCCAAGATGGTGCAGCATTCCTACAACAGACTTACTTCTCAACAGTTGAGTGTCGGACCTCCTCTAAGCCACACCCCTGAAGCAATCGAGGTAACCTACACAGCATTATATAGCTAAACACTTTCCGGTTCAAAACATTTAATGAAAATGAGCTATTCACAGAAGCATTTTGTCACAAAGGTTGAAGTTTTGCATGTAAGGTGAATTTTTACTGTATCTGTGTGGTTTTGAATCCTGCAGAAGGCAAAACGGAAGTGCGAAACATCGTATCGCGAACTAAACCAACGAATCCACAGATCGAAAGAGTTACTGAGAATAGCTCGGAAAATGAAGACCCAAAAAGATCTAATGGTCAGGGACCACCATTAATTAACAGAGCAAGGTTACAATTTTGAATGTTTATTTTAGGCAAAGGGGAAGAAAAGAAGAATCGAAGGGGACGGAAAGACACCTCGAACATACATTTGGAGAAAGGAGCGCAAACGTTGAGAATTTCACACCAATAATTTTTGATTCAAATCTCATATTATCGGTATAATAATGATAACACTCAGGACTTTCATCATACATTCTAACAAAGATGTCGAGAAGTGTCAGTTTGTGAGCTCTAGGTGTGTAATATGTGGGTGATAACAAAGAAGAGTGAAGAGGGGATGTATGAGTAGTAATACAAAAATAGGGCAAAAGTTGAAATAAAAACGGTGTTGTGTTCAGCATGTGACCAGTTCTTATAGAATGTGGAGATATGGGGAGAACTGTACGGGAGTGGATAAAGCTCAGCGAAGAACTGGAGGCGATAGTGCAATAACATTGGGGATTCTTTTTCAGCATGCGTGCAGGCTAAGCGTACAACTTTTGCAGTTCTTCCACGTGTACCATTATCTTCAGCGCTCGTCCCAGCTTTATTCCCAGACACTTGACGAGGGACTCGTGGGTCAGGAGAAGCAGGGCCGTCCCGTCTACCTCCTGCTCTTTGAACATCGCGGCGTAGTCCTTGCAGTCCGTGGTGCTCTCGAAGAACTTCACGACTTCGCTTACGGTCCAGGAGCGGACGTCCACGGGCAAACCTGCAGTGGAAAGAATAGTTAGTTAGCTGCGGGAGATGCGTCGGGATTTCGCAGGTGTCCGCAGCGCTACATAGGTGCGTCGTCAGCATTAGCTAGCGGAGGGTGTCCGAAGAACACGAGAGGCGGCTCAGTGAGTGCGAATCTCCTGGCCGCCGGTGTTGGTGGGGAAAAAGCGGAGCGTTTCCGCTGCACGCTCTCTCACCCTCCCACACCAGCGGCCCCTGCCCTCATGGCGGCAGTTCTGGACCCCTGCACGACTCATCATCGCTACCTCTTTCCCTAGCTAGAACCTATTGCTAGCTATCCACGTTCGCACGCACGCTGGGCGAGGCACGCCATGCCTCAGCAGCCGCGTAAAATACAGTTAAAGCCTTTTTTTGTCTTACACAGACAGGCGGGGGAACAGTCGCCACTGTCCATCTTTGCGCGGAGCTGCTACAGAACTTATACGGCTACTTCATCAGCGGGCGAGTGACCATTGTTGTTAATTTGGCTCGAACACCCACGTGTGGTTTACTAAACACACGCGGGAACGGCATCCAACACGCAACGCTAGCGCACAGACGCACAGACGCACGCAACGGAACTGACCGGCCGGGATCTGGCAGCCGGACGCGACGGACTTGGCGGCGGCTGTGACGGCCAGAGCGTCGTCTTTCCTGGCCCGATGCTGTTGCTGAGAGAGGAGCGCGGTGCCCAGAGCAGTCAGCTGGTCCAGAGGGACAATGGAGATGGAGGGAGGAGGGACCGTGCGACTGAGGGGAGGGGCAGCTATGGGTTCCACTGTGCTAGTGGGGATGGAGGTCAGGTTGAATGAGACCGATTTGGCTGGTTCAGCTGTAGGTAGGTGGGGTGAAGAAAGATGAGGAGGAGACGAGGGAAGAGGGAGAGGAGAGCAAAATAATGCGAGTGAATCCAGGATACTTTTGGTGCAAATTGGAGTGGAAGTAGTGTGTCTCCCATTTTCTATATAAATTGGGGAGTGTGTGCGACTAAAAATATTTCACACCTTCCTTCATCTTCTTCTGGTTCTGTGGAGGCTGCTGCTGTGAAGGTCTCTTGGTACCCACTGTAATTTCTGAAAACGATAAAGAAATAACGGAGGTATAATTCAACCTTTCCTCTTATTATGTAGGATGCACACAAAATGACTTTGTTTATACACCACCCACCAAGCTCTCTGGTGAGTTTTTTGGCGGCCGGGGGTTGGACGCCAGTGGACGACGTCGGTCGCTTGTTGGTAGCAGTGGTAGCTGTGGGGGTGGGGGTTGAAGTCATGGTTGGTTTGGGCGTGGCAGAAGCTATGGGTGTATAAGAGGGCGGAGCACGGGTGCCTTGCGACGACCTTCTGTCCCCTGAAAACATTCACACATCAATGCACACATAATATGCATACATTTGTCCATACACACACTAAGACTTACACGTCATATCAATCTGAAGGTTCTTCAGTGCTCGGGGCAGCTTTTTCTGCTGTTTCTCGACTTCCATCGGTGTCTCCACCTCCACCACCGATCGCCGTGACGACGGCGACGATGACATCACAGGCTCCGCCCCCTTGTTTTTCTCGGACCAAGTATTGATGCAGCGCTGGGTGCAGAACTGGTTGGACCTCATCAGTGAAGGCTTTCTTCCCCTTCCACAGACGATGCACTTGATCTTGTCCTGATCTCCGCTCGCCGGCGAGTTTGCAGAGGAAGTTGGAGCACCTGGCACCTCCTTCACTTGTTTTTGTTGTTGTTGTTGTTGTTGTTGTTGTTGTGGCTGCTGTACTTGATGTTGCTGTAACAACAGTGAAATTTACATTCACTAAACAGACTCATGCTGATTAAAGTGTAGCTCAGATGCTAATATTGTACAATTTTCAATGGGTGAGTTGCCCCCTCACTTAAAATAGTACCAACTCCAAATTCATGCACAATTGATATTACCCATGCATGGGTTCTATAATTATGCTATATATACACACATGAAAAGTTGTCATCTCTTGTGTACTAAAATACCTTTCTCCTGGTGCGGAGAGCAATCTCGGATGGTTTGTTGACTTCAGAAGAAGACTTGCTGCTGCTATCGGGTGCCTTCTCCACAGCCGTCGTCTTAACTTCTTTCTTCCCCACTTCAGACGTCGTTTTAGGAGCCTCGCTCGTTTTGGGCTGCGTTTGTTTCGCAGTCGCGGGAGCTTTGCTAACTGCAGAAGACGCGGCTGCAGATGTCGTCACGGGTGCAGTAGACACAGCTGGCGTCGCAGTGGAAGTGACTTTGGAAATCATGGTTGAGGGGGCTACGGGCCCGACGATCTTCGTCTCGCTGGCAGCAATTGAGGTGAGGGCAGACGACGTGGCCTTCAGCTGTGTCGGCTGGGCGATGATGAAGGAAGTGGTGTTTGGAGCAGCGGGTGTTGCAGAAGAGAGAGACGGGAAGACGGAGTCTTTGTCGATGACAGGCGGGATGCTCGACGTCAGGTTCTGCCGCAGCTGCTCGATGACCTCTGCAACCTTTAGAGAGTTGGCGAGCTTCGAGACAGGTATCACGGTTACTTCCCCGGGAGGTGTACCAGGCTGCACCGGACGGCCCTTTCCATGAGGAGGCTTCACCTGCAAAAATGTACGTTTTACAATACATAGGTACACGATCTAAGTGTTTTTGCAGACGAGCTCCAAACTTGCAAAAATTTTATGAACTGCACCCCAAAAAAAATTTGCCACCTATCAGTATATATTCATGTCAAAAAACACAAAAGCATGCAAAATGTATTACACTCACAAGAGACTTGCATTGTTGGAATACTCACAAAATTGGAGCACACGCGAAGTGCACATCGTTGTTTCTTCCTCCCGGGTCCTCCAAACTTGGTCTTGTCCTTGCAGTAGTTGCACTTTCCGCAGTCCTCCCGTACGCACCCAGGACACCCACCACACCCCCTGCCCCGCCTCTTTGGCAGCGCAGCCTTCCCGGCCGCTGTGTCGGGACTGAAAATCACCGGCGGTTTCGGGACCCTCCCGCTCTTCTTCCTCGGCGTCGTGCGAGCTCTCTGCCCGCCCGGTTTAAGCTGTTTGACCATTTTCGGCGTTGAAGTTGCGTGTCTCGGTCGCCCGCGGCCCCTCTTGGCGAAGCCGGAAGGACCGGGCACCTCGGAATCGACTACAACGGTACCCGCTGTGGGTTTGTTGGTCAGGGAGTCATTCTTGAGCAGTTCGTCTTTGTCGCTCTCTTCGCTGGTGCCACTTGTGTCCGAACTGGAGTCTTCGGAACTGGAATCAGACAAAGGAACAGTCGTTTCGGGCTTCTTTGTCTGGGTGGGCGTGGCATTTGTTGCCCCGTTGGGGGTCAAAGTGGGTTTGGAAATTTGGGTCTTTTGGGCTGATTTTTCAGTTGGAGCAGGGACTGTTTTTGTGGATTTTTCGCTCCTCCACCACTGGCTGTGAACAGCGTGGTAGTGCCACTTGCTGGTGGTTGTGGGAGGATGGCTGAGATGAGTGGAGGAGGAGGTGGGCCAGTGAATGTTGTGGTCCTAGTAACCAGATTGGCGGTTGACACAGTGGGACTGTTGGTCGATGAAGACAGGACCACAACGGTCTGTTTGACCGGATTGGACTGTTTGCGTACGGTACGGGAGACAGAATCGACCAAAAACCTGTCACCACCACTCCCGACTGATTTAGTGAGGGGGGGCCCTGTTGGAATTGAACTGGTAATGATAGAGCTTGTGAGTATATGGCCAGGCAGAGGAGTCAGCACAGTGTGTGGGGCAGCAGTCAGTGCAGACCGCTGTAGCTGAGATGGAACCATGCGTGCCTTCTTTATTTCACTCATGGCCAGCTGTACTAGTGAACACCCGCGGCAGAGCACCTGGGGAAGAGTGGAAAATGAGCGTCAAAAGTAGCGCACCCCGAGTGCGCGAACACGCCGGAAGACGCGTGCATAACGGCTTGGCCGCCAAAATTATTATCCTACGCCCTGCTTGCCAGGGCGGCGTAAGCTTTTCCTGGGTTCCGCTCCGTTCCCGCAGGCTTCGTACCAACCTTTGCTTTCCTACACGGACGCGCGACCTATTTTTCGTGGGTGAAATCTTGCGCCAACCAAAAACGAGGGGACAATTTTGAAATTTTGGTAGAGGCGTCACAAAACCGCCATTATCTCCCCACCTGCGCGCTGTTGTTGGGTAGGGCCTAAAACACGCCGCGCGGCACACATCACAAAGCGCGCGCTCAAGAGCGCACAAATTCTCTCACCGTTCAATTCTCTCTGGAGTAGAGGCGAGGGGCAGTTTTCCGGCACGGCGACAGAAGATGATCGCGCTCCTTCTGCGTACGCGATATGCCTTTCTTGTCCGATTCGCGCCGCGGAAATGACCAATTTTGCGATTTTTGGTCGGGTCACGGGACGCATCACGTGACAAAATACATTGTGCGCATGCGTATTACACTGCATTCTGCGTAAACTTAAACAGGCGCGGCTACCAAAAAACATCAACTGAGAATCATTTGTAGTTTGACCAAACTGCGC